TGGGATGGACGGAGGAAACGGGGGGGGGGGGGGGGGGGGCGCGGGACGACACCTGCCTTGGGACCCCAAACCCTGCCCCGCCGCGAGAACGGAGATGCCCCGGCTGGTGCTCCCCGCGCCCACCCCCCCTAACACCCCCCCCCCAGGAGCCGTGGGGTGAATGCATGGGGACAGCCCCCCGCCCCGGCGGTGGTGTGAAGTGGGGTCCCGGTAAGGGAGGGGCCCTTCACCTCGCTTGCAGCCCCCGTTTTTTCACGCAGTGCCGTGGTGCCCGTGGGGAGCAACGCTCCCGGCGACGTTGGTCAAGCACCGGCTCCTCTCCGTGGGCTGGCCGCGTCCCCCAGCCCACCCGCTGGCCTGCAGCACGGCACAGGGAAGGGTTCGGGCTTGGCTGCCGATGAGGAAGGACATGTGAGGTCCTTCCTTGGGCTGCTGTCCCAAAACCCGGCCCCGGGGCTCAGCACCGCTGTTCTGGATGTGAGGGATGCTCGGGGGGGGGGGGATGCTGTGGCGCAGGCGTGGGGATGGCACCGGGGGCTCCTCGCCTGGTGTTCCGCAGCAGCCGATCACCGCTGGGACTCGTTAAGAGCACGCGCTGAAACAAAGATATTCCCCGGTGCTGTCAGCAGCACAAGGGTTAACCCCGCTTTCCCCCTTTTTTCCATGGCGAGCTCGGTGGCAGTCGGGGATAACCTCGTTAGCGGCTGCGCTGTGGCAGCGATGCCCCTGGGACAGGGTGGCCCTATGAAATGGAGCTGTGCGCTGGGAAATGGCAGCGGGGCTGTCCGGGCGGGGGGCTGGCGGGGCGTTCCCCCCCCCCCCCCCCATGCACGGGCCTGCAGCCACTCGGGGTGTCGTGGAGGGCTCCGGGTGCTGGTAACGAAGCTGAGCCTGCGAGGGAAGCCCTCGGTCCCGGGCTGGCAATGCGGGTGCACCCGGGGACCTCGGCACCGGCTGTCGGGGCACCTGCCTTGTGTCACCCCCCAGCCCCACAGCGGGGTCTGGGGAAGCCCGGAGATCCCCTCCCAGTTTGCTGATTCTCAGATGCGCCGGTGAGCTCCCACTGTCCTGCTCGGGGCTGGTACTGGCGCCAGCACCCGGGAATTGTTTGCTGCCTGTGCTGTTGTGCCACAGGCCCTGTTTCTGGTGGCCACCTCCCCGTGCAGCGGGAGAAGATGGGTTCCTTATGCCTGAGCATTCATTCGCTCTGCTGATCGACAGCCTGCGGTCTGGCTGAGCAACCCCAATTGTTCCCAGTGTGCCTGGACAAAGAAGTGCCTAGAGAGATGGCAAGGCTGAGGAGAAGAGGACATGCTAGGAATATTTCCATTGCCTTGGACACCACCAGTTTTTTTTCTCCCCCGAACTCCTGCGAGAAAGGGAGGCAGCAGCTCAGTTTCGCAGGCAGGGTGGGATGCCTGTCCCGAGCAGGGTGGGTGCAGCCTGTCCTGGGCCGAGGTTCCTGGGGAGCATGGCTCCCAGTAAGGGAAGCAGAGGCTGGGCCCCCCCCCACCCCCAGCATCGCTGTGGGAGCCCCAGGTAGCCCCACGTCCCCCTGCGGGTCCCTGTCCCCAGGGACTCGTGTGGCACCACAGGGTGATGGCACTGCCCTGGGGCCCCCCCGTGTGCTGGGGTCGGCTGTTCCCAGGCAGACAAAGCAATCTGGGGAGCTGCAGTTTGCAGTTGTTTTTTTTTTTTTTTTTCTGGGTGACATCCTGGGTGCTGCATCACCCCAAAACCTGAAGGAATTAGGGAGGGGAAAGGCATGGGGTGAGGAGGGGCGGGACTGGCTTCATCGGCCACGCTGCTCTGTGCAGGATTAACGCCATCATGGAGGCAGCACCTTTTCCGTTCCCTTTCCTCTCACGGCAGGCTGCAGGCTTTGCGTGGTGCTGGGGGGCCGTTGCCTGCTGGTTCTTCTCCCCAGCCCCTCTCACCTGCCGTGGCTCACTCCCAGCTCCTGGCCAACCCTGAGATTTGCTGCCCTATTTTGCAAACAGGAAAGCTGGGACGGGGATAAAGACTGAGCTTTCAAAGCCCTCGGCATGGAGCAGCTCCCGTCCAGGACTGTGAAAGCGGGGGGGGGGGGTTTCCCCACGGGAGCTCTGCCTGTTCCCATGCGACCTGCTCAAGGTCAGGCAGAGCCGGCAGCGAGCCCCGGTTCCTTCCTTCCCCGCCGGCCCGCGGGGTCGCAGGCGGGAGCGGAAGCGGAGCCTGTGTCTGCTCTGCCACCTCCGAGCAGGGGGAGGGCGGCGGGCGCTGCCGAGGCTTTTGTTCTCGGGGATCAGAGGGCTCCTTCACACGTGAAGGGAGCGGCATCGGCCTTTCTAGTGGGGACAAGATGCTGCATCCGAAAACATCGTGGCTCCCTCGGTCGTTAGCATCTGGCATGGCTGAGCACCACAATGGCAGGGAATCCATGCAGGGAAGTGACAGACCCCGCGAGCGCAGCCCCTGTCTCCCTGCGGCTTGGCAGGAGCTGGCAGGGATCAGCGTGTGGGATGCCTGGGGGCACGGGACACGTTGCAGCCTGGCTCCTGGGGACCACTCTGCCATCTCCCCCAGGCTCAGGAGAGGCTGCCTGGTGGCCCGGGGTGCAATAAGGCGGTCCCCAAGGTGGCAGAGGGTCCCCACTGCGGTGAGCGGGGCTGCACGAGCATCTGAGGATGCAGGGGAGGTAACTGTGCCGCGGCTGCCCCCGCTCAGGGCCATGCTGCAGCTGGGAGAGCCCACGTGTCCCCCCCCCCCCCCACACTCCCACCCCCTCAGCAGGAGCCTGGGCAGGAACGAGGGGGGCTGTGGCACGGCTGCCCCCAGAGGAAATGGGCCGAGAAAGCCCTGGGGGAGACAAACCGCTGGAGGAGCACGGTTAGCTTCACCCCAAGCTGGCAAGAGGCCCCTGTTTCCCCTGCGCCCGCTGTCCCGCGGAGATTAGCTCTCGCCTGGCTGGGCTTGACGGGCAGGCGGAAGAGGCCGCGTGCGCCGAGCGCCGCGGGGCCGCCCGGAAATCTGGGCAAAACGGGCACCACAGCAGCCCCTTCCCTCCCCGCTGCGGCTCGGTCCCTGCTCGACCTTCCCCGCGGCTGCACCGGGCTGTGCTCGCCGCCTGCCGAGTCCCGGCACGGGGCTTTGGGCGTTCGCCATCCCCCCAACGTGCTGGTGGTGAAGCCGGGGAGCTGGGGACACACACACACACACACACACCCCCCACGCTGCGCAGGAAAGGCACGGGCTGTGGTGCTGCGTTTCCCCTGGGCGCCGCGGTTCTGCCGCGGTTGGCATCGCCCCGTGCCGGGGCTGCCGGAGCCGGTTCCCTTCCCCGCCGGGGCTGCCGGCTCGGCTCCCGCTCAGCCAAGTGCACGGGGTGCAAGGGCTGTACCGGGGTCCCGGGGGGCGCCGGGGGGGGCGGCACCGAGGTCCTGCGGTGGCAGTATGTTCCAGTGCCGCTGCTCAGAGGTGCCCGTGGGGACGGCAGAGCAGCGGGGAGGTGACCCCCGCGCTTGGGGTCAGCGGGCCGCGGTGTGCGTCAGCCCTGAGCGGCTCAATCCCAGCTGGGCAGGGGGGAGGAGGAGTGTGTGTGTGTGTGGGGGGGGTGTGTGGCTGATTCCTGACCCACAGCTGGGCCTGGCATCTTCGCCGGCATCGCCGTGGGCCACCTCCCGCGGTAACCGGATAGGGTCGAGTGGTGCCGCCCTGGCATCAGGAGGGCGAGGAGAAATAATAGGAACAGGCAGCAGAAAAATGTAAAGCAAAAAAATTCCTTTTGTCTTGAGAAAGCAGCCCTTCAGACCTTCTGTTCCTCCCTGAAATAGTTTTTCCTGCCACCCAAAAGGAGATGAAATATTCTGTGGGGTGTTATTTCAGAGGATTTTTTAATTGTTGTTTATTTTTACCTTAATCATGTGACGAAGCTTGTGAATGGCCTGATACGTGGGAAAATAAATATGCAAATACTGTCCCCAGGTTTGCCAGCAGGATTCCCCGATCCGTTTCGCAAACACACAGTTCAGCCGACGCTCGTTATCGGTTCTAGTCACTCCTGCAGGACCCCACAAAATGCAGCGCAGAAAACGCCCTTTTCTCCACAAGCTGGAAAGCTGTGGCTTGCGGGGAGCTTCGTGGCACCTTGCTCCCAGAACCTGCCTTTTGTGCACGGCTTTAGCTGGAAGCAGATGCAGGCACAGGGAGCCGCGGCGCTGCTCGTCCCGCAGCAGCTCGCAGGATGACACGGGACAGGGAGTTACTCCAGGTGTAGGCTGGAAATGGAGAGTAGCTTCCCAGAATCTTCCCCCATGCTGCAGTTTATTCCCCCTGCTGTGACCGCCGAGTGTGCCAGGGACACGGAGGTGCCTCGGCAAGTCCCAGCGCTGGAAGAGGGAGCGCCGTGCAGCTCTGGGCTGTGGGAGGAGGGCGGAGTGAGCTCAGGCTGCCAAGAGGCGCTGGACAATTAAACACTCTGGCCACGGGAGGAACCTCGGTGAACACAACATCCTCCCCTGCCCCCGTGCCGGGTCGGGGGCACCCCTCTGCTGCCTGCCAAAGAGCTCACCCTCACCGCCACGACCGGCGAGAGCCGAGCTGCTGGCGCATCCCAGGGTCTGGGCGTACGTCCACCAGGACAGGGGCTGGATCCAGCCCTGGAGTCACGGAACTGCCGGTCAGAGCCGCTCGCTACAGCCCCGGCACGCAAACTGCTTACCTAGTCACCCCCCGAGATGGTGTTCCCCCGTGCATGGAGGCAGATGTTTAGTTGTTTAAGATTTAAAATCCTCTGCCACAGAGACCCTTTTCCATAATGAGGCATGATTGGGAAGGGTGTAATCAATCCGTTTCTCCATACGAGAAGAGCGAGAGGCTTGGACAGGAGCACTAAGTGATTCACCAGGTTAGAGGCTCTCCTTGCCTCCCTTCTCCTCTCTGCTTAATTCTTCTAAGTTTGAAATGGATCCTTTGCTTCCATTTCTCTTTTTCTCACAAAATCAAATTCTGATACAAATGGAGCAGGATGGGAATGGGTTTATTTCTTTGCTATTTTAATACAGGTATCCAAATATTTCTGACTACAATTTTTCACAACAGTATTAACAAAAAAGATGAGTGGACTTGTAGCTGTTTCGTAACACCTGCTGAAGTTTCAGGATCTGAAGGACTGATGGGTCCTTCTGGGCCATGCCACCGCTGCTCGCTGCGCAGCCTTGTCGTTGCTGGTCAGAGCGTTAGAGCAGAGCCGCAGGCCCACAAGGAGAAATTCAGCAGCCTGGACAGACGTCGGTTCAGGCCCGCGCAGTTTCAGCTGAAGCTTTCCAGACTGGCTTTGACCCGCTCCATTTCATGCAGAAAACTGTAGAACTGGGGCAAAGTTAACTCTGCAGAAAAAAAAAAAAAAAAAAAGAGGCATCTAGTCCTAGATGTCAGTCACGCTTCCAATACTGGAAGAGCCGTCCTGGTGCTACCACAGAGCAACTGGCGTTCACCTAAGCTGGGCAGGGCTGGGCACCGCGACTCTCGGCAGCAGTTTCCTTACGCTGCGCGGGGTGCTGGGCTGGGATTCTCCTAACAGCAACCGGCGCTTGGGAATTGTTTCCTTTCTTTGTCTGCCGTGCTGCTCTGACTGCTTCTCACGGCTCCCTGGCGTATCTGCAGTTACTTATGCAAAGATGTGAAGGCTGCCCGACAGTCAGCGCTCCTAAATACTGCCAGGGTGACTGCGGCGGGGGGAGGCCAGGGCAGGAGCAGCCCCAGCACCCATCAGCTCGCAGGGACCCTTGCTGGGGTCCCTGCCCAAAGCTTCCCCACCTCCAGCAACCCCCAGGGGATTTCGTGTACTCAAATGCTTGCTTCTTTTCCAGAACTGTTAACTCACCTATATATATGTTTTCCATTTGGCTCCCTTTTTTAATCACCAGCTTCAGCTTGGGGGGAAGAAAAAGCAGAGGTTTATTAATTCAGAGAGACCTGTGTTCTGAGCACCATGAAAAGCCACAAGTACAGGGGCCTGCTGCAAAGCACACGCATATCTGACGGGCTTCTTGGGAAGCCTCGCTGCAGGAATAGATTCCTCAGGCATTAGGAGGATCTCTGGAAGTCCTCACAAATGATCACATTTCCCCTCCCTCCCCAAGACAGCGTGACCTTTGCTAGACTGAGCTTTCTGAACAGCTCTGAAGAGTGGGCTACACTTTTGTGATACGTGATGTCTTCAGGAGAGAAACACCGAGCGGCGTGCCGGCTATCTGCTGGCAGCTGCGCGCCGGAGACTGAAGCAGACGCCCTGTTGCAGAGCTCGTCCCTGTGAGATCTGGCTTTCCTCTCGTTCCTCTCACAGCCAGCACTTCCCACGTGCCTGGTTGCAGCTTGTTCCTTAACTGCACTACAACCTGAACTCGCTGATGTAGGAGATTTACCTGTAAGAAGATACTTCCCACTTTTTCCAGTTCGCTGCTCCCAGCAGTCACTGTGAGTCAGAAAGAAGAGAAGGGAGATAATTTATTAGCTAAACTGTGAAACAAAAAGTTATTTAGCTGAGAGCTGCTGCCGGGTTTCCCAACCCACTCAGTTTAGGTTTTAGCTCTATTACCTCCAAACTTCCACTCCATATCTATCAGCTGGTTAATCATCAGCGTCTGACCAACAGCCAGGCGCGTCAGGGTGGGGGAGTTCACCTTCCACTGCAAGGGCAAGAGATACACGAGCAATCAATTCAGAGAGGCCTCTATTTACGTTACCTGAAATTTCAACATAAGTCAGGAACGAGGCAGACTGATGGCAGAAGCCCAAAGTGGAGGTGTGCGAAGCGGCAAACGAACGTGCTCGGGAGGGCTTTCAAAGATGTTTGAGTCCTGCTAGGATTTCCCCCTGCCTTGTCAGTTCTGTAAATGAAACTCACTGGTTTTGTTTTAACAGTGGTTCAGTGTAACAATATCTGCACAAAAAGTCATGTGTTCGTGTAACTGCATGACCTCGGGGCTCAAAGCGTGCAAAGCAGGAAAACAATCAAATGAAAGCCACACAAGTGCAGGAATCACGAAACTGATGAGGTAGAGGCCACAGCAAACCAGACGTATCATTAGACTAAGTGTTCCTTATCAGTTATCTGAGGATCTTTGGTTCAAAATTCTGAGCTGGTTTTGAAGAAAATACCCAAAACGCTGACACATCTCGGTAGCACAGCGAGGTTTTACAAGTTCCCACTCAAAGACTGTCATTTTGTTAGCTTAGAAACAAGCAAAAATATATTAATACCTGTTCTGCAAAATAACTGGCTTTCTCCTCGCTGAGGCCTGTGGGAGAAACCATATGAGATTACTATATGTGATAAATATTAATTATCTTTTATTTAGTGAAAGTCAGGTGACCTACCTAGAGCAATAAAATCTGCTCTGACTTGTTCAGAAGACAAATTCCTCTTCAGGGCACCTGAATAAACAATGCAAGGAAGAAAAATCACTTTTTACTGAGTCAAACCAATCTTCACCGAGTCAAATAAATGCAGGGACGGAGACTCCGCGATAGAAAGCCTCGGTCCCTGGACTGTGTTTTGAAACAAACCACAGCTCCTCAAGGTAGGAAATAGAGTTGTGCCTGCCGGGGTCTCTGCGGATGCCCAGTGCTTTAAAAGTCCGGGCGATGGGAGCGCCGGGGAGAGGCAGAGATTTCATTGCGGGTATCCATGGGAACAGCGGCAGCGGTTGTGTTTTGAAGTTGCTGCTTTCTCTCCTATAGAAGCTTTGCTTGTTAAAGGAGAACTGTTAAGGCTGGCAGGCTACTAATTTGACCTACCTGCTGTGTTTTGGATTATGGGTGTGAACGTGTGCATATAACACTTTCCCCTGCTGTGCCTGCCTCCTTTGTTCTGGGGCACAGGCAGCACATGGAAGTTTACAAGGATTCTGTTCTCTGAAGCCAAGAGCAGGAATCTCATAAATTCAAAGCGACTGCCAGCCCCACGTGGCTTCCCGACTGTGTAGCGCACGGGCAAAGTTATCTGCTGTAAACTGGTCCAATGGTGTCTGTGGTGTCCCAGAGCTAATGCCAAGTCACAGCGGGACTGGGGGCCAGTGCACCCGAACAGGAACGATGAGATGGACTGCACCTAGGCCAGAACCAGGACGGGAGAAAGTGCCGATTCCACACTAAATACCCCCAAGACAGCTGTAGGAAAGGAAATTATTCAGTGCTACTCCTGGATAGAAGAAACGGCTTGAAGTAGGAGAACAAGTTTAGACCAAATGCAGGAAACAGTTGCGCACGGTTTCACTGCTGTGAAGAAAGCTATGGGGAGCTCAGGACTGAAGGATAATAGCAACAGGACTATTAATAACGAGAAGGATCAATGGGATGAACGTGCAGTGGAGGTGTTTGATGCATTATCATGTCAAACGGCAGCCACAACATCAGAGTAATCTCATAAAGAACTGGAGTCTGGGGTATTCAGGGGGAATCCCCCTGCTCCTCTTCCCCGCTATTTATGAATGAGAAACTGCTGGACACAGAAGTGTTTCTCTAAAACAAGGCTGCAAGGACAGACATTTCCTTTACACGGCCTAGAACTACACTGGTTTCCAGCCCGGCCCTAGAGGGGTGCGTACGCTGTCTTATCTGTCCCAAACAGTGCTTGTACTTGTAGGAATTACAGTACTGGCTCACTTGGATGGAAGTTCCTGCGAAGACTTAGTGCCAACGTAAGGCTGTGCTGGGCTGGCAAAATGGATTTACAGGTACAAGTTAAACCAAGCACCGTCCCAGTGTTGTGCTCGCGTTTAATGCATAGATGTTCAAGTGAGTTCAGTTAAGCCTGTGAAATGTGTGTGCAGAGAGGGTATGTCAACAGGAGAACTTTTGATTCTTAAACGCTAAGCCATTTATCAGCTACCATTAGCACTTACTCTGCAAACCAAGGGCACTGAAGTTCCGAAGATGTATCACTTACCGTTAGGTACCAGCAGAAAACTTTTGACAATGTTTTTCAGGGGGCCCAAGCTGATTTTGTTCATGGTGGCAAAGTCTGAGAGCTGAGTCAGAAACCTCTCTACCTGCTCGAGAGAAAGAACAGGGACACGACCTTATCTCTTTATGTTTCCCGACCAGAGAGCTGCATTCACACCCTTCTCCTCGGAGTTCCGCACATGCCTCACCTCCCTGGGCTCCGTTAGAAAGCGGAAGAGCACTTCGGTCAGCGCTGAGAATTGCTGCGGAGAAAGAGGACAGCGTTACGGCGTCGGGCACCAGCACGCTTCCTTCCTCGGCACTCCGCCACCCCCATCACCGCCACACCGCAGCTCCACCTGCCGCCGGCACGCTGGGCCCAGGGCCTGACCCCCCCGTGCCGGTAAGGCACCCCCGCGCTCGGCACCGCAAGATGCCTACGGACGGGATTTGCTCATGGCTGCTTTTCAGAGACTCTCAAAGAGTTTGTGCAGCTGGTAGCTGGCACTGCGCGGGGCTTTTGTGACTCGTGGCTAATCAGAAGCTGCTGTTCTATCCTGTGTAATCCGAAAACCGGGAGTGGGAAAAGATGCGAGCATCTACGCTCATGTTTCACGAACCCCACGGGGTAACCAGAGTAACTCAGGAAAGAGGAACTGGTTAAAGGTCTAGTTGCTGCCTCCGGCTTTCTGAGCGGGCAGCTGGCAGGGCTGGAGGTGCCTGCAGGGCAGAGCTCCCCCACCCTCCTCCTCCGCCCACACCACCGGCCTCGACCTTCTGGGAACCGGGGAGCGTGGGCAGGGCTGCTGGTGCAGCGGCTCGTCCCGTCCCCCCCTCACCCCCAGCCGTGGAAGGGGGGGCGGCACCGGGCTGTCACCCCCGGCCCCCGGCCCCCTGCGCTAAAGCAGCCTCGGCCCTTCCACGAGCTTCAGCACAAGCCGAACCGGCTGCCGAGTCGCGGCCGCACGCCCGGTGCCCGGGACGGGAGGGCGGCGGGGCGGCCGCCGCAGCCCCCGGGGGGGAGCCCCTTGGCCCGGGGGGGAGCCCCTTGGCCCGCAGCCCCCGGGGGGAGCCCCTTGGCCCGCAGCCCCCGGGGGGGAGCCCCTTGGCCCGGGGGGGAGCCCCTTGGCCCGCAGCCCTCGGGGGGCAGACCCTTCGCCCGCAGCCCCCAGGGGGAGCCCCTTGGCCCGCAGCCCCCGGGGGACCCAGCTCCCGGCGCTGCCCGGCCGCGCTCCGCAACCCCTCCCCGGTCACCGCCAACCGCGGCGGGACCCTGGGGCCGGGGCCGGGGGGGCCCGGGGGTGCTCGGAGGCCTGTTGCCCCCCCCCACCTCCCCGGGGCGGCGCCTCGCCCCGACCGGCTGCGGCTGCCCGGGCGCCGGCGGCCCCGCGGGTCCCCGGTACCGGGGCTGCCCCCCCCCCGGCCCCACCTGGGCGCTGAGCTGGTTGAGGTTGTGCATGTCGCCGCTCACCGCCTCCGGCACCGGGTCGCGGGTGAAGTTGAGCAGCCCCATGGCGGCGGCCGCGGCTCCGCCCGCCCCCGCCCGCCGCAGCCTGAGCATTGGCGGCAGCACTTTCCGCACGGGCGCGGGACGGCGGGGGGCACCGGGCGGGGGGGCACGGAGCACCCCGAGGGGGGCACGGGTGGGGGGCACGGCGCACCCCGAGGGGGGCACGGGTGGGGGGCACGGCGCACCCCGAGGGGGGCACCGGGGCGGGGGGGCACGGAGCACCCCGAGGAGGGCACGGGTGGGGGGCACGGCGCACCCCGAGGGGGGCACCGGGGGGGGGCCATGGCGCACCCCGAGGGGGGCACCGGGGCGGGGGGGCACGGCGCACCCCGAGGAGGGCACCGGGGGTGGGGGGGGCCATGGCGCACCCCGAGGAGGGCACGGGTGGGGGGCACGGCGCACCCCGAGGAGGGCACGGGTGGGGGGGGGCACGGCGCACCCCGAGGGGGGCACCGGGGCGGGGGGGGGGCCATGGCGCACCCCGAGGGGGGCACCGGGGCGGGGGGCACGGCGCACCCCGAGGAGGGCACGGGTGGGGGGCACGGCGCACCCCGAGGGGGGCACCGGGGGTGGGGGGGGCCACGGCGCACCCCGAGGAGGGCACGGGTGGGGGGCACGGCGCACCCCGAGGAAGGCACGGGGCGGGGGGGGCCATAGCACACCCCGAGGCAGCCCCCCCCCCCCCCCCCCCCCCCCCCAGGGGCAGAGTGGCCAGCAGCCCGGTGTGCCCGCTCGTCCCCCCCGGGGCTGCCAGCGGGGCCCCTGTGCAGGCGGGGGGAGCGCCGCCGGGCTCTTCCCCCCCCCCCCCCCCCTACCTCCACGCGCCCCTAATCACTCATCCGGAACGATTATTTCTAATGGGAAGGGTTGGGGCGGCCTTTTGCTTTCCTACCCAGACCCCCCCAAATCCGAGCCGCAGCCCAGCTACCTGCCGATAAACGCTTACTCTGCGTTCCTCCAGAGATACTTAGCCGCATGTTTAATTTTATGCACTTGATCACTGCCGTGAGAAGTAAAACGGCTGGTTGCTGGTGAGCGTGGAGCCTAAACTACAAAAGGGGGAAAACGGGGGAGAGCTGTGGGTACCCTCTGCGCGGAGCCTCCAACCTCACCTGCGGGGTGGTCTGGCTGACAGCTCAACAGTGTTAAGTCATTTTTCTGTACGCAAACCTCAGATAAATCATTTAAAAACCATAATCTATAGGATGAATGTTTTTTCTTTCGTTTGAAAATTCTACTTGGGACCCGAAACGTGTGTGACTTTCCCCCTCCAGCTGCTGCTCCAGCTGTGCCCGCTGCCGAGCGAGGCCCAGGCTCGGGGTGACAGTGACGGGTGGCCCCAGGGCTGAGCAGCCCGTGTCCCACGCCGGGCGCCATGGGACGGACGGGTGCTGGGTCAGTCAGAGGCAGCTCCGGACCGAGCCAGCCCATGGGCAGAAAGTGCCCGCATGTCGAAGGGGTCAGGGTTTCACGGGGAGAGTTCAACCCGATTCTCGCCATAACCTCTAAGCAGGAGGTCTCCTTGATTTCAGAGATGCGGAGGAAGGCAGGTGAGTGGTAAAATCGCCTTCTCACCCTCTGTTTCATGGTCTTGTTTCTGTTTGTGCTTGGGAGAAGGCCTTGATCCAGGAAATATTAAAACTGGATGTATTCCCACAGAGGACAATGGAGCTGATCACATCCTTAAGGACTCCCTGGCCTTAAGCTGCTATTTTGCAGCTTTTCAAGAGCAGGAAATTAAGGTCTCCAGCAGTTATTCCACTATTGGTGTGAATGTGCCTGACCTGTTTTATCTGGGAAGGTGTTCATGGCTGCCCAGGCGGACTGGGTGGACAGACAGTGTAAAAAAGCATTTGTGGAAGGTAAAACTGCCCAAGCCCACAAGGCTTCTGTTTTATTACTGACACTTTCAATTGCAAATGAGAGTGTAGGAAATTTTATAGTGCCTTTCATTGGGAAGATATCCCAGTAGTGGTTTATAAACAAGGAGTTAAGCAGCAAAGTACCACTAATGATGAGGAGTTGAGATATTTACTGGTGATCTGGCTGGAAACAGCGTTCATGCTTCGTTTTCTTCTCCCTCTACCACCTAGCCCAGCTGGGAGATTTTCTGTTATTTCATATACACAGGGTGGAACCCTGTACCTTGAATGAAAGGGATTGTTGAGGTGAAAAAATTACATGCGAGGGTGCTTGAGGGATTTGACCCTAAATATTTAGGACACCTTAAAAGAAGGTGCAGATTTTTCACATTGGAAAAATTTATCAGGTTCTGTGGTGAACTGGCCACATCGGCATGTTTAAAACCACAGGATATGCTTGTATCTCCAAAACAGTTAACCTTAGCTAAAACTAATTCAGGGAAATGTATGGACTGGGTAGCACGAGGTGCCAGTGCGTGTGAACACAACATTCCTCTCTGTCTTTAAAATGTTACATACAGCTTTATGTAAGTTTTCCTGTGTGTAAATTAATAATGGCAGTTAATTATTGCACATTTTCATAACCACCAAAATTCATTCACCTGTACTGTGTGGCCAAAAAACTGAGACAAGGGAAGAGGCAATTTTCTGTCTGCTTTGTATGCCAGGATTTGCCGTGCAGGAGCAGCCTGCAACTGATCTTTACTTCCCCGTCTTTCTAGGGTGATGCTTTAGAAACTAATTAAGGATGGTCTCGGTGCACGCACGTGTGCTTGTGTGAGCATGCAGAAGGTACAGCGGGAGGGAGAAGCCAACGTAGTTGAACAATTTCCCAGGCAGCAAACCAAATTCATGGGGAAAGTTGAGTGACAGGATCCAAGAAGAAGAGTCTCAGCTGAGGTACGTACGTGCTCATAACATCCTGTTCAAACAATCGCCAGGAAATTCGGCAGTCCCACCTCCTGGGATGCCGGTTTGGCTGCGGCGTGGCACACCAGTGCAAGGAACCCTGGTACGGCACTGCCGGTTCTGCCAGCAAGGCAGGCTGGGTTCTGCCAGCGCTCCTTTTTGAAAAGGATTTATCTAAATGAAAGGTTGCAGGGTGACAATCTGGGTTAGTTACAGGGGTGCCAGGCAGCCGATGGTCCCCAGGGCCCCGGGCAGAGCCCCCAGGGCTGCTCCGTGGGTGCCTCTGCCAGGCCATTCTCATGCAGAAAATGTCTGATGGACTCATCAGAGCTGAGGACAGCAGTTCAGGTACAGATATGGGCTCTTGTTCACCACAAATACTGGAGTAAAAGCAGCAGCCAAAAGCAATGGGGGAGGGGGACACGGGGAGGGAAATAGGGCTTTAAAAATGGTGCACTCCAAAATGAACCGAACCCGAGGATCCATGTGCCCTACTTCAGATGGATTTTTCAGCTTCATTTCACCTGTCAGACTTGAAAAGTTTCCTCAGCAGTTGGAGGGTGTTATCTGGGGAAGGGTCCTTATCGTATATTCCCAAGAGATCAAATCCTGGGGTGTCACCGTCCTGTCCCCTGATGCCCCTTTCTATCCAAAGCTCTCAAAGCCCTTTGCAGCCACTCCGAGGTCAGCCTTGGAGCACCTTTCCTGAAGTGGGGGAGCACTGCCTGCAGTTAGTGGCCCGAGAAAGGCCTGGAAAAGGGAAGAGAGTGTGAACGAGCCAGGGGGTAAAACCTTTCAGCCTGGTTGGTGCTGAGCCTACCCGCTGTGTGCTCTGCCCATCTGCAGTGTCTGTGCACTGAGAACATCTCTCTACACGGGCTGAGGGATGCTGCAGCTCCTCCCGGCTTGCTGGTGAGATGGCGATTGCCTGGCTGAAGCTTTGGAGGGGTTAGTTCTGTTCCTAGGGGAAGCTGATATAAATGAGACCTTTGAGACCAGGATTTCAGTTTCTCCCACAGTTTAATGCCCCTTCCTCTCCCCCCCATCACACTTTGCACCATTTGCTCGCAGGCAAATGTTGCTACAGGAGTAAATTATTGCAAGCATTGTGTGCAAAGGTTGCAGTGGAGGTGGCAGCACCACTGCCGGGCTCCGGTACGCTCCTGCCTTGTGACCGCAGGCAAACCCCTTCCTCTGCCGGCGAGCAGAGATGATAATCCCTTACCCACGGGGGAAGGAAAGGCTCTGGACCTGGAGTGGAGGGGGGTCTGCTGGCAGCCGCCCCCGGGGAGCAGCATTTCTCCTGATAAAAGTATATATGCTTAGGAGGGCGGTTTGGGGAGGCCTCGTCACTTCAGATTAGGCTGTAGCAGGCGTATCCTGTTTTCTAGGAAAAAGAGGATTTTGTGGCCAGCTTTGTTAGAGAGGCATTGAAGATTTTTCTTTGTGCGCCTTTGCGTTTGAAGTTTACACGCGGGTAGCTGCAGACTTTCTAGATGTTTTGGTTACACAGATGACACTTATTTTTAACCTTATTTTTATTAGAGGTTTGTATCATGTGGTCCTGCCCAGCCCACAGGAAGGTCTAGAAATTTTATGTAGGGGGGATAACACTTCCTATCTCCGTGTAAACAGCAATTCCTCCCAGATGGGAGAAGCCAGCCCAGCTGTAAGGGGAGGCTGGAGGCTCCATTCCCACATGTGGCAGCAGGATGAGGCTTTCCCACAGCAGGGACAGACCTTGCTTTCAGTAGCCAGAGCCCTGCCACTGCGCTGGGGGTGGCACAGCTCTGCTCCAGGCTTGGGAGAGCTCTGGGGAGCAGTGGCGAAGAGCAGCTGGTCACTGGGAGCTGCGATGGAGCAGAGCTGGTGGAGCTGGTGGGCGGCCAGCGCGGGGCTGGGGTGAGGGCTCAGGCCACGGAGCTGCTCGTGGAAGAGGAGGACTCATCCCGCAGGACATGCTCCCAAGGGGTCTTGCAGTGAAGAATGCTGGGCAGTGCAAATGATTGTTACTGCAGGCTGTGTGTACACTGACACGGGAAACCCCAAAGCCTGAACTCGGCAGGAACGTCGCCGCCAGATTCAGCGAAAGGAAAAGTTCCTCCTGCTCCCTGCCCCAGGAGGTCACAACTGTCTGGCGTGATTTAATGGTGCTGGTGCTTCTCCCTACCTGCTAGAAGACTAAACAAGCACTTAGCTGTAACTGGGGCCTGGGAACCTGGGACCCAGAGATCCAGAGATGACAAGGTTGCACTGCTGGTGGCTGTAGGTAATGACACATATTTGCTCAATTGCTTTATTTGTTCAGAATCTCCAGGCTGGGGTGCAAAGCAAGAGACAGCAGGTAATTGGAGATCTGGACAGGGAATGGAGTTGCTTTGCCTGGCCAGGGTGGCAAAGGAGAATTTTAGGAAGAAATTTGAAGTGGGAGAATAAGGTGGACAGAGGAGAGCTGGGCCTGGTGCCATAACCTGGCTCCTGCAGCTGGTCGGTCACCAGTGCCACGGGTTGGAAATGCTGGCCGCGTGCGAAAACGGCTCTTGCTGGAATGATTTTTTGCAGGAGCACTGGGCAGTCCAGCGGTGCTGCCGATGGGAGTCACTCGCTCACGGGGTAGGGACGTGTCCGTGGCACGGGGCGCAGAGGACGCCCAGCCTGCGCCCAGGGGTGGGCAGGGACCCCCCACTGCTCCCCAGCTGCTGCTCCCTGCTCGGGTAAGCCCTGGCCATGCTTCCCATCTTCTCGGCAGCTGCTCCAGAGAGGGAACGGAGGAGTTTTTCCCCCACGGCCATGTCCCAGTGCTTGTCCATGCTGGAGAGCCTCAGGGCTGGTGGGGAGCAGGGCCGGGCGGGGGGGCTGCCCGCTGCAAGCCCTTGTTCAGCAGGGCTGGCAGAGAGCCTGGCGCAGGGTACCAGAAATATCTGGCAGGAGCCTAAATATAAAATCCTCTTTAGAGGTACCTTTTCTTCTCGTGAGATGACATACAAACCCTCTGGACTGCTAGGAAATAAACTGGCAGTATCTCTCTGTGGTTGTGTGTAGCACAGACATGGAAAAGGGTCAGGCTTTGGCTCATAATCTGCCCAGAGCTGCTTTGTTCGGTACCAGGCCTTTTTCACAAACAGTATGCACAGACCTGCTCTCCTGAATTAAATGATAACTGAGGGGAAGAGAGAGAAAGAGGGCGTTTCAGCGGGGCGGGAGATTGATGGCAGGTCAGTGAGGCCAACAGAGGCAGGAAGGTTTCCGTAGAAAGGGAGAGGAGCCCGTGGATGCTTGAAGCAAGGGCTAATTCCACCCTAACAGTGCCCTAGAAAGTCTCATGAGCACATTTTGCTTTCCCAAATTTGGAAAACCAAACAGGAGTAACATCTATTTGCTTGGTTTTAATCTACTCGGCGGAGTTGCAAATTAGCTTTAGGTTTATGCAGCATGTGTTTATTTGAACTGTAATCTCCAGTGTTCCCAAAGGCTTATCCAGACCAGATTTCTTGGCTTCTCTTGTTCACTTGCGGGGCTTTTTTTGCACATGCAGCCACATTTTTCATGCTTGTGTTTCGCAGGGATGGAGGGGTGTTCCGGGGGAACCTGCCGTACAGGCCTTGGGCTGGTCCAGGCACTTCCCGCAGGGTTCGGATGCTTTGGCTAACTCACTCATTTTTCCTCCTGGCTTTGAACGCTTATTTCTATCACAACAGGATAATCATATGCCTTCTTTTTACTGTTCTACAGTTTTCTGCTGGATCTAGAAGTAATAGCAAGTGAGCAGAGAAGATTATACCCCACGTGGACTCTGGATGCTTTGTCTTGGGCAGGAGAGGCGCAGACTGTTTTCCTGGTCCCCAGCACAGCCCTTGCAAGTGTCTTGTCTCTGTACAGGAAAGGGAAAGAACAAACAAACAAACAAAAATTGACTGTAAAACTTGGGGAGGCTTTGTCTGCCCACGCCGCGCTGCGTGGGACGCGGTGCTGATGGAAAGCCGGTGGGCAGAGGGGTGACTGGGGGGGGGGTTGTGCGTGTGAGGGCTCTGCCCGGCCCCGGGGTGCCCCTTCTCCCCCGGGGGGGCTCCTCTGCCGCGGGGGCTGAGCTCCGGGGGGCTCTGGGGAGGGATGCGGAGCCCTGGGGGGATGCCGGGCACTGGGGGCAACACTGGGACATTGGCGAGTACCCGGGAATGGGGACCCCCGGGAAGGTGTGAGACATCGGGGGTGGGGGGGGGCTGTGGAGCCCCCGGAGAGGGATGCTGAGCCCCGGGGAGGGGATGCGGGGCACCGGGCGGTGCAAAGCCCCCGGCGATGCAAAGCAGTGGGGGGATACCGGGGTGCCGGGCGTGCGGGGGATGCCCGGGGCGGGGGGAGGGGGCGCCGGGCCGCGGGGGTGCGGGGCACTGGCGGAATTCGGAGCCCCCGGGGGTGCGGAACCCAGGGGAGTGCAGGGCCCCGGGGCGATGCGGGTCCGGGGGGTCGGGCGGGTGCGGGCCCCGCGCTCCCCTCCCCTCCCCCGGCGTGCGGCGCGGCGGGCGTGGGGCGGCGGCGGAGGAGGAGGAGGAGGGGCTGCCCAGCACGGGCAGGGTTAAAGCGCCATGTAACCGGAGCGCGGGGCTGTCGGGGGCCGGCCGGGGCGCGGGCGGTGGCGGCGACGAGCGGCGGCGCGGCCCCGCTGGACGGCGCGTCCCTCCGCGGCGCAGGTGAGCCCGGGGCCGGGCACCGGAGGGGCCGGGGGGCACCGGGAGCGGGGCCGGAGCCGCGGCGCATCCTCGTGGGCGGCTTTGTTGTGCGCGGTGGCGGCGGCGGGGGACAATGGGGCGGGCGGGGAGGCGGCACCGGGCGCCCCGGCCCCGGCCGGTCGGGCGGCCCCGCGCCCGGGTCCCGGGGGCTCGGGGCGGCGGGCGGGGGGGGGGGGGGGGCGGCGGGCCCCACCGCCACTTGTTGCCGCCGCTCGGCCCCCCCGGGCGGGTTTGAGGGGGGGGGTTGGTGACCCCGCAGCCCCGGGCCGGGCTCCCTCCCGCTCCCGCCCGCCACTCCGGCTCCCGTCGCAACTTTCGGAGTTTGCCGCGGAGGCGGCGCGGCCGCGTATCCCGGGGGCGCGTCCCGGGGCTGTCACGGTGGGGTCGGGCCGGCTGCTGAGGACCCCCTGCCCCGCGGCGATGCCGGGACGGGCAGGGGCCGCGGCGGGAGCACGGCAAACCGGGGGAGCCGCGGGTTGCCGTCGGTGAAACGGCAAGTGATGGCTCCGGGGCGGGGAGGGCTGGGGTTGCCCTGCCCGTGGCTCGGCGGGCCCCGGGCAGCGCCGCCCCCCCCAGGCAGGGGGGCACGGGGAGGGCTTCCGGGAGCCCGGGATGCGGCGGCAGCGCTGCCGGGGCTGAACACCTTTGTTTTCGGTTCTTGGGTCAAGGATCTGTCAGCGCATCTTGTATTTTTTTTTCTGTTCGCAGGAAAGCAGCTCCCGGCCGGCGCCTCGGGCGTGAAGGCTCCCCGGGGCTGGGGAGGGGGCGGCCGGAGCCGGGGCGCGCTCAGCTGCCGGGCACTGGCCCCGCCGGCAGGTACCGCCCCGGGGGGAGCGGGGGGAGCCCGGGGCAGCTCTGCCGGCATCCTCCTCCCGAGCCCGGGGAGAAGCTCCAGGGGAGGGAGGAGGGCATCGGAGAAAGAGAATTGAATTCCGGGATGGTCCCAACGTGGGGGACAAGTCCCAGGGGGCTGGGAGAGAGGAGCAGCGGGTGGACACCCGGGGCGAGCGCTGGCCCGGGGGCGAGCGCGGGTGCTGCACCGACCCCCCGCGGGAAGGGGGCAGGGGAAAGAGCGGGGGGGGGGGGGCTGGAACGCAGGACTTGCCCGTTCCGCCTCTGTCTCCGGTTTCCTAATTTTGAATGCGGGGAGGGGGAATGAGCCGGGGTGTCCCGGTCCCCGGCGGGCTGGAGGCTGGAGCCCCGCTGGACGGGGCCAGGCGGGGGGCTGGGGGGGGGACACACGGACGCGGGGGCAGCGAGGTGTCATCGTCAGCGCTCTGAACTCCTCTTGCGCAGGGGGAAGATGCAGCAGTAGCCGCTGGGGACGGAGGACCTGCCACCGCTGAGCGGGACCCACCTGCGCGACGGCGGAGCCCCCGCAGCCCCCGGCCCGGCCCGCAGGCAGCCCCGGCCCGGCGCCCGCTCCTCCCCACCGGGCACGGCCCGGGGCCGGGCGCTCGGCGGAGCCGGTGTGGCTCGCCTCGGCGCGACGGGGGCGAGATGAGCATGGTAAAGAGCCTAGAGCGGCTGGAGCAGCGGCTGGCTGTGATGGTGGCTGCCCAGGAGACTTCTCCGGCCTGGTCTTCACTGGGAGAGGAGGGGCCGGTTTGTTTTTTGTTTCTTTTCTTTCCACCGAGCTTTTGCTGAAAGGCAGCGGGCGACGTGCTGCAGCCTGGGGGTGGCCGCAGAGGGCTGCTGCGGGGCGGCGGGGAGCGGAGCGGGGCGGGGGGGGGGGGCAGGAGAGGAAACGGGGGGGAAAATGGAGGGAAGTGCCGGAGCGCGGGAGCGCGGCGAGAGCCGGAGAGGGGCCAGGCACAGGAAACGGGCAGGGGAGGGGAGAGCCTGCCCGTCTTAATGAGCATATCTGCCAAAATGGGCTCCCTTTCTTACTAAACTGCCAACCCAGCAACTCTTTTCTTCCCAGGATTAGAGGGAAATGTTCAGTTTGGGGAGAGTTAAAGGCCATTTGTGTGCGCGATAGCCCAGAGCCCTCGGCAGGAGCCAGCCTGGAGGGAGCGAGCCTGGGCCATTGGGGTCCTTTATTTCTTTTTGTTATTCAAACAGGGCTTGGGTGATGGCTGCCATCCCAGCCATCATGGAAAACGCTTCCCTCCAGGCTTTTGATATGCATGCCCCTGTCTGGAGGCAAAGTCCGGCTGTCTCCCCTGCGATCTCTCCTCCTACTGGGGCAACGCACCTGATAAGGGCCGCCCTGTTTTCTCAAGCAGGAAAAGCGAATCGGGGCTGAGCCAGGCCGGGGGAGCAGCCCTGGTCCCGGGGGGCCGGGGGAGCAGCCCTGGTCCCGGGGGGCCGGGGGAGCAGCCCAGGTCCCGGGGGGGCGGGGGTGCCCGGCACAGCCCTGCCCGGCCCCTCGCAGGGGAGCGCAGCCCCTCTGCCCGCACCGGGACGGCCGGTGAGCTCGGCCGGGCAGGGACCGGCAAGTCTCTCTAAGCAGTTAATATCGTGGCACGGTCTTTTAACCAGTTTGGCAAACCTTAAAGAAACTGGTATTGCAAAACTAGGGCGGGATCCGGAGTCAGCGGGTTCATTGTCTCGGTGGGGTATCGCCGCAGGGCACGGCCTGGTCACCAGGCAGAGTCGGGGGTGCCGGTCCCTCGGGGAGCTTTGAGCATCGGAGCTGGAGCTCTGCGTTATTTTATTCTTCGTGGGTTCTTGTAGGAAGCGTATGGCTGTAGTGCATGCCTGTATGTTTGCAGTGCATTAAGCAATGCAAACACTGCGGTGCTGTTTTTCTCCTCCTCCCGTGAGACAGAACATGTGAGGGGAGTGCTCTGTTTCTTATTATTTTCGTAATGCCCTGTGTGCACATGTTGGTGTGCGTTCCTGTGAGGGGAGGCGAGGACAAAGAGCGGAGCCTTCTTCCCGAGCGGGACGTGGGGAGGCTCGTGGGGATGGTGGCTGCTGCCGGAGCTCCTGGGTGGCCGGAGGGGCCGGACAGCCCCCTTCAGCGGGCAGGACGGTCCCAGGCGTGCGGCGTGGTGCAAGAGGCAGCAGCGGTGGGAGAAAAGGGATAATGGGAATTGCAGTCGTGCGGCCTCGGTGTAGGTTCTTGGGTAAGCAAGACTTTAACCAGCTTTGCAGTTTGGGTGGTGGCGCGATGTTCCCTTTCCCACTGGTGTATCAGAGGGTGGTGACGGGATGTCCTCGAGTGATCTCGAGTGGTGCAGCTGGAGAAGTGCACGGAGTGAGCGGTGCCTGTGCTGCTGCGTGCGCGCTGTTTGCTCCTGCACGTACCACCGGGTGAGCTGAGGTGCCCGGGCTTGGGCCGGTGCTGGCGGCCGGGCCCCGCGGGCCGGCGGAGCTGCGGCGTGTGGGTCTCCGGCTCGGCCGGGGAGCAGTTCCAGCCAAAGCGAGAACTTTTTTTTCCTACTTTGTAATTGGAACAAAGACGATGTCGGAGCTCCCTGAGCACGTGGCAAAGCTGAGCCTGGCACAGCGGGTGCTCAGTTCTGGCCGTGTGTCCCCGGGGGGACCTGGCCGCTGTGTCACCCTCCGCCCCCCCAGCACAGGGACTCACTCGCCCTGTCGCCTGCCCCGGGCTGGCTGTGCTATTTTGAGGTGCAAGTTTGAACCTTCTGGGCTCGGGCTCCTGTCTGAGGCTCCCAGACAGGCTCCTGACAAAGGACCGAATGCAAAGGTCCTCTGAAAGTCCTGGCGGGGCTTTGAGGGTGCAGATTTTCTGCAGGGCTGGGAGGTGGCTGTGCCTGCTGCTGTCCTCCCTGCATCTTAACAGCCTCACACTGCCCCATCTCCCTGTCCCCAGCCTCTCTGGGTCACCCTCATGCCACGAGAGCAGCGTGTCCTCTCACACCTCGCTGTATGGATTCCCAAGTGAGATTCACTTATTTTTTTGGGGGTGAGAATTGCTATTTTTTTTGGCAGCATCGCTGCTGGCTCTGATTGCTGCTGTTCTGCAATCCTGCTGACCCTGGAGGAGCTGATCCGGCTTGTGCTGTGCTGGGATGTGTTGCTGCACCTGAGAGCATCCGGGGCCGGCGTGTGTGGGGCTGGCGTGCGTGGGGCTGGCGTGCGTGGGGCTGGCGTGCGTGGGGCTGGCGTGTGGGACTGGCTGCCCGGGCCCGGGGCAGCCCGGCGAGTCTGGGCAGCTCCCAGGAATTGTTTGCTGGGTTTGGGAGCAGATGTGCTGCAGCAGTGGGATTTCTGCACACTGCTGTGGGGGGCTTGTGCAGTTTTGGATTCCCTCTGGTGCCGTTCCTCTCCTTCTCATCCCTTTGTTGAGCAGACGTGTCTGCAGGGGGAGGCAGGACGTGCACCCAGGGGCTCTGCCTGCGGAGGTGGGTGCTGGACACCTGAGTTCCTTCATGTTTTGGGTCTTACCAGGGTTTTAATGCTGCCTTCAGCATCCAAAACATCAAACCCCAACTGGTCTTTGTTTGTCAGAGGTGCTGACAGGACAGATGATCTCGAAGCAGAAATCTCAATTGTTAGGGAAGCAGTTGGAGGCGATGCTGGGCGAGAGTGCTGGGAAGGGGGTGGCAGGGCTGGAGCCCAGGGGTCTCTTTGGGGCTGGAGGGAAGTTGCTTTTGCTTCCTAACAAGGGCCTTAGGTGGGTAAAGCCCTGCTTGCCCCTTGGCTCATTGAGCCGACTTACGTGTTCCTGAAATGACTGTGCTGGCGAAGGGGCAAGTTGCAGCACAGATCCACAGCCCAGCAACGAGGCAGCTTCGTTAGCGCAGTCCCGGGTGCCTCTGGGAGAGCCTGGGAGCTTCCACTTCCGAAAACAGGATCCGGGGAGGGCACCCGGGGGCAGGCAGGGTGGGCGCAGGGGAGGTGTGTCCCTCCTGTCCCGGGGTGGGGGTGGGATGCCCGGTCAGGCTTTATCTGCGCAGCAGCAGCAGCAGCAGCTCCCAGAGCAAGGGGGGACACGTCCTTGTCCCCCAGGGCAGGGGGTGGTGGTACATGAGTGCTGGCAGTGCAGCCCCTGCCCTGGCCCTTCGCCCTGGGGCGGGGGAGCCGAGGCCAGGGCGGGGGGGGGGGGAGGCGGGGGGGGAGCAGGAGTTTTCTCTCTTTGGGGGAGTTTACTCACTGCAGGCGCCAGGACTTTGCCCCCCATGGCGAGGTGTCTGCCGTGTCTTGCTGCTGCTGTAACAGCTGCTGGGCTGTGCTGGGCTGTGCTGGTCATGCTGGGTGTGCTGGGCTTTGGGCTTTGCTGGGCGCGCTGGGCAGCTGGAGCACAGCGGGGCTGGTGTCGGGGGGGTGGGATGTCCCCTGGTTTCTGTGGGGTGGCTGGGAAGTGCAGCTCCCCTCTGGACAGGGTCTGGAGCCGTGGGCAGGACCGCTCTGGCAGAGCTGGGCTGGGCGGCTCGGAGCCCGGGAGTGCTCCGGGGTGTACGGGTGGCGGGGGGGGGTGGCTGGAGAAAAGCCCCGGTGCTCCCCTAAGGACAAGCGGGTTGTGTCTGGGACCTCTGTTCACTGGAGCTCGCGGATCTTCAGGGCCACCACGTTTGTGGGGAGGTTTTGTCCAGGTGCCTGTTGGCTCCCGGTACCACTTGAGATGCGTCTCCAGTCAGACCCCTCTAAGGGCATGAGAAGCTGTGGGCTGGCTTGAAGAGCTTACCCTGTCTGCTTTGCCTTCCCTGGGGCTTTCTGCATGGCTAAATTGCCTTTCCACTCTGGCTTCCACAGGCGACCATGAAAAAGGACAAGAGCCACGACCAGGATGAAGCGGACTGCCGGGCAGAGTTGATCCTCATCAACGGGGACTGCAGCGATCCCGCTAACGACGCACCCACCCTGGGGCTGGAGGCAAATGGGAAGCCCAGTGTTCCAGGTGAGCCTCGCCGCGCCGTGCCGGGGTGTGCTGGGGTGTGCTGGGATGTGCTGGGATGTGCCGGGATGTGCCGGGATGTGCTGGGGTGTGCTGGGATGTGCCAGGGATCTCCCAGGTGCCGGCCGGAGGGCTTGCTGGGGGCTGCAGCACGGCGACCGTGGCTGGGGTTCCTCCGTGGCTCTGCTGGGGTTCTGCTTTCTGGCAGCACGTCCAGGCCATGGTGACAGAGGCAGTTGTGGGAACTGGTGCCACACTGGGATGCTGGCTCTGCCCTTTGATGGTTTAACACCCCCCCCCCCCAGCCTGAGGGGTGCCTCCGGCCCGAGGGGCTGCAGCACAACTCTTGGGATGCTCTGGTCGTGGTCCCCAAATCCCACCTCTTGGATTCACGAGGTCCTGCTTTAAATGGAACTGGTGACAAGCCCTGAATGGTGGGCGTATGGTTTCCTTATGCCTCTGAGCTCTCGGGAACAAAAAAGTACAGAAGGAGGTCCCCACACTTGCTATTAGAGTCCCTCCCAGTTCTGGGTGATCTGGGACTGCTGGTGTCACCAGTGTCGTGACGGGGAGCCTCGGGGGCACCGCTTGTCTTCCGCTCTCGGCCACGTTTCTCCAAGAGGAGGTTTCCGTCTCCAAATCGCGCCTTGCTGCTGGGAGCAGTGGCGGGCGGAGGCGTGCGGGGGCACGGCCAGGAGGGCTGGCAGGGCCTGAGGCTGCTCTGCCTTGTCCCTTCGCAGATGCCGGGGGCCTGGGGCTGCCGCCCCTGAGGAGCAGCAAGCGGGTGAGCAAGGGAGACCTCTCCAAGGAGGAGCTGGCCTGGCCGCTCGCGCTGGCGGAGGCGCGGGAGGTAAGTGCTCACCAAGGCTGCTCCGTGACCTTGCTGCCCGGGGGCTTTGTGGGCTCTCTGCAGATGCAATATTTATCTACAAGCGTAATATTTGTTTTCATTTTTAAATTCCTGGTTTACATTATGTCAGCGGCAGCAGGAGGGTGTGCTGTGTGACGCAGTGGTGCCCACTACATGTTGCAGCAGTCTAATAATTGTGCTGCTATTTTCTTTAAAAAGTCTTGGCCATGTTGATGGACTGAAGCATCTCTCTCTCGTCTCCCACTCTCAGGGTGGTCTGCTTTTAGCTGCTTTGGGGCTGGATCCCCATTTTTTCCCCCCCTCCTTTTGTTGACTAGGTTGACAAACCTCCAGGGTCTGGAAGCATTTTTGCCTTCTGGCTTTATTGTTTTTGTCTTTGAAATAAAACCCCAAGGTTGGAGATCTGCCTGTGATGAGGCAGCTTCCAGAAGAAAGAGCCATAAATCCAACTGGGGCGAAAATTCTGCTTCTTTCCCACTATGCCGGGTTTGGGGACTCTTCACTTGCAAAATCTCATTTCATTTTGAGACTCTTGTTATGCCGGATGCAGGAAATATGGCTGGGTTAGAGTCTTGGTAAACTGTGGCTGCTGAAACCGCAGGGGAAGGGCTGCCCTGGGTGCCTCTGCTGGGCCGGGCTGCTGGGGGGAGAGCACCCACACCTGCGTGAGAGCACCCACGCGTGGGTGAGTGGGGTGCTGTGCCCGGGACGGCTGCTGTGTCGCGGCCCGTGGCTCTCCTGATGTCTGCTCTTCCTGGCTGCTGGCTCCTGCTGCTCTCGGTCGTGCCGCCGTGGCTGTGGCTGCGAGGAGGGAGGGCGCAGGAGGGCGCAGGAGTCAGGGATGCAGGAAACAAAAGTTGATGGAAGTAGCTGGTGGGGGGCCCCCTGCCCCCAGCGCAGGGTGCTGGGGGGCTGCAGCAGTGGGTGCTCCCGAGCGGGGCCGGGCTGCTGTGACGCGTGCGGTCGCACCGAGGGGCTCAGCCTTCCGCGCTCCCCTCGGTGTCCCCGTGCCCCCCACCCCGCGGCTCCGGTGCCACCTCTCTGTTCCGGTTGCAGGTGCGGCCCCGCGGCAGCGCCGGGTGGGAGAGCAGCCTCAGGCAGAAGCCCCCCGTCCGCCTCATCTTCCAGGCAGGGCAGACCCGCCACGAGATGAAGATCAAGGAGATGAACAGCGTGGAGACTCTCAGGGACCTGCCGACTCCCCTGCGGGTGAGGGTCTGCGTGGGGCCAGGGCTTCCCTGGAGGCCCGTGCCAAGGGGCTTCAGACATGTTGCAGCCTCTCCGTGCCTCAGTTTCCCCTGTGACGTGGCGGCGGGTGTGCTGTTGCTTGCCGCTGGTACGAACTGGGTGCTTTGAACACCCTGGGGTGAGCTGGGGAGAGGAAGAGGGGAGAGAGAAAGCGGTGCATGGCTTTCTGCGTGTCTTGCAAGTAAAAGCAGCGCAGTCCTCCCCTAGGTGCCCCAGTCCTGGGCCCTCCCCTCCATTCCCAGCTCTGGTGGTGCCCCCGCTCCCTGGCTCCCCCTCTCCAGTCCCCCCCAGCTGAGGGGTTGGGGGGTGACGTGGGGCAGGTCTCTGCTCCCCCCCTGCCCCTCTCCCCGCCGCACTGACGCTCCCTCCTCCTCGCAGAGCTCCAGGCGGCGCCTGGCTGCGTCCCTCCCCGTCACCACCATCGACCTGACGGAGGAGGACTCCCGGGACTCGTCCCAGAGCAGCAGCACGCTCTCCGGCAGCAGCTCCCAGGAGGGGCAGAACGGCTCCGCCGAGCTGGGGGCCGAGGAGCCGGAGAGCAGAGAGGCGGCGACAGCCCTGGAGTACCAGGTACGGGACGGCCGAATTCTGCTCCGGTGCGGGGCGGAGCCGAACCTTCCTGCCTTGTCCCAAGCCTGTGGGCGAGGGGACCCTCTGGAAACGCCACTGCTGCTTCTCCTGCCTCCTCCTCCTCCCTGCCTGCCCTTCCCTGGGTGTCCAGGGTGCGGTGGCGCCGGGCTGTCCCCCTCCGTCGGGCGGTGGGGTGGGTGCTGCCCTGCAGGCACCTTGCTGCGGATGGGTGCTGTGCAGGGACCAGCCCCTGCCTGCGCCGTACACGGGGCTGCGAAGCCTCCGAGGGCCCCCCCCGAGAGAAGCGTGCGCGGCGCACGCCGGGCTGGCAGCCGTGCCGAGCCCCGCCGAGACAGGCAGTTGCATGTGCAGAAAATGTTTCTGCTGGGGGGGTGCTGGGGAGAAAGGGAGCTGCAGAGAGTGATTCAGTGCCTGCGGGCGTCAGGGCAGGGCCCCAGACTTGCAGGAACTGGGCAATTGCATCTTGCTGCATAATTAGGTGCCTAATTGCAGAACAAAGCTGGGGAGGAGGGCTCTGTGGGTGGAGGTGACTGCTCCTGAGCGAAGAGCCTCCCTGGGCACAGCACCGTGCCAGCATGGCCCCCGTCAGGCCGCCTCTCGGAGGCCCCTGGCACAGTCACGCCAGAATTCCCAGCTCTTTCTTCTCTCCGTTTTTGCTCTGCCCCGTTTCCTGCTCTCCCCCGTGGGCACAAGAGGAGGGTGGGTGCCCTTTCCCTGGGGTGCACCCAGAGGAGCTGAGCTGTGCCAAGGAGCAACCCCTTCTGCTCGGGGAGCCCAGGGAGCAACCTGAGAGCCGAGTCCTCCCTGCGGCAGGCAGGACACGTCGCATCCCCTGATGTGCTTCCCGCATCCCTCGGCCCGGGCCGTGGCTTGGCAGCAGCATGCAGCCAGCTGAGTTCTCCCCGACAAACTGTGGCTGCGGTGGGCGGGGGGATCAGGAGAGTCTGTGCCCCCCCGCCCCCGACCTGCTGCCATTCCCATCACCGGGGCTGCTGCAAGCCCCCCCGTGACAGCCGGAGCTCCCTAGCTGCTGGTGTGTGCGAGGGCAGGAAGAGGCTTCCCGGTGTTTGCCGCGACCCCGGGAGGGCAGGCAGGAGTGGGCACGCACGGGGCGCGGGTGCCAGGAGGGCTGTGCAGGACGGAGCACGCGCCGCGCCGTGCGTGCCAGGCGCCGGGCTCGGCGTGGGGCTGGCAGCGCCCAGACCTTCCCGCCGAGCTCCTGCGCGGTGCCGGGCTGGGCGCCAGCGCTGCCGGGGACGCGTTCTGCCATTTTTTGGGAGGGGAGGGGAGGGGGTGGCAGCTTTTGTGGAGCGTTGTGCAGAGGGCCCCCGCGTGCGTGTGACTTCGCTCCTGCGTGGCGGAGCAGCTCTGCAGGGCGCCCCGTGGCCGTTCCCCTGTGCGGGTGCTCGGATAAAATGGGGGGTGGTGGCTGTGTGCTTTTGCCTGATCTGTGTTGTCCTCTTGCTTGCAGGATGGGAAGGAGTTTGGAATTGGGGAGCTCGTCTGGGGAAAGATCAAAGGTTTTTCCTGGTGGCCTGCGATCGTCGTCTCCTACAGAGCCACGGCCAAGCGCCAGGCTGTCTCGGGGATGCGGTGGGTGCAGTGGTTTGGAGACGGGAAGTTCTCCGAGGTAAGCCTGCTGCCTGCCCCTGCCTGCCCTCGGCTCAAATCCCCTCCCCTGCATGTTTCTGCGTCTGTCCCATGCCTGGGGCTGGCCCGGGCGGGTGCGTGTGCCCAGCTGCAGCTCCCCCCCGCCCCGGGCAGGGACCCTGGCGTTCCCTGTAGTCAGGCTCTGCCCTGCTCTCGTGGCTCTAGTGCCTATAACTAATGACTGACCCCCGTGGGTGGGTGACAGGATCCAGCCACGGGGACGTCTGCCCGGCCCCTTCGCAGGGTTTTGTCCAAGCCCTGGGCTCTAGGGCTGCCCCCGGCGTTCCCTGCCTGGTGAGAGGTTCCCTCCCGGAGCCCAGCACCCCTCGGGCTGTCCCCTGCCCTCCCTGGGCTGCAGGCAGCAGGGAGGGAGGTGCTGTGCCGGGTGTCCGTGCCGGCAGAGGGTGCAAAACACCCGTTCTAGTCGCGAGCGCAACGCTGCCGCCTCTGCCCTCCTCCCTCTGCCGCTCGTCGCCCCTCTGCAAAGCTGACGCCGGGCTTCCTCGCGTCCAGCCAAAGCCCCGGCAGTGCGAGAGCCGTGCTGGGAACCACCGGGAACCGCTGGGCCGGCTCAGCGGCGTGGGGGGCACGGTGCCGTGGCGGGGGGGCACGGCCGAAGCGAGGCGTGCCCTTGCCCGCTGCTAAGCTCTTGTCACTCTGTCCCAGGTTTCTGCAGACAAGCTGGTGGGACTGATGGCCTTTAGGCAGCATTTCAATTCTTCCACGTTTAATAAGCTGGTCTCCTACCGACGAGCCATATACCATGCCCTGGAGGTAACGGCGGGGCAGAGCCGGGGTTGGGCGGATGCGGGGCCGAGGGGAGGGGGAGGGCTCGGGGGGGTGCTGGGATGCAGGGAGGGACGGGCTGTGCTCGGGGTGGCCGAGGAGATGCTTCGCTGGGGCAGGAGGAGATGCCCGAGCTGGGGCAGTGGGTGGGGGGAGGCGGATGGGGCTCTGCCCCCACACCTGGCGCTGCTCTGGGTCTGGGCAGTGCCTGTGAATCACCTTGAGAGCAAGCGGTGAGGGGGCTCCTGCCGCAGCCCAGAATTAATCATTTCCCCCATCTGCTGGGGCGATGTGGACAGATGCCTGTAGGAAAACCCTCCTGTCTCTGCTGGGACTATTTCCAAGTGCAGCCACGGGGCCAAAGTCTGCTTATCCCAGGGAGTTCAGGGGTAACTGCGGCTGCTCCAGAACCCCCTGGGGCCAGGCTCCCTCCGGGGGCTCTGACACGTGGAGTCACACTGTGACACGCTGGCAGGATGTGTCCTGGGCTGGTGCGGGCTGCTCTCGGCGGTCGGGGCTGGCACTGAGCACCCCGTGGGTCTGATCCCCATCCAGGGGATGCGCCACGCTCCAGGTTACGGTGCTGCAATCCCCCAGGCACCTCTTCTGCTTCTTCTTTGCTTCCTGTTGCTTGCTGGGGAGCAGAGTCTGGGCAAGAGCTGGGGCCGGGCTGTCCCTGCTCCCAGCTCGGTTGGGTGCGGTGGAGGACAGACAGACAGACAGACAGACTCGCCGCGGGGATGGCACGCACCGCGGTGTGGCTGAGAGCACACCCAGCGCCGGAATCCGGCAGCTGCCGCTGTGCTGGGGGTGCCGAGCCCTGCACACGTGTGTGTGGTGGGGAGGGGGCCTGGGACCCCAGCCCTGGCAGGCATGTGGGCCACGCACGCCGCAGCCGGGCTGCTCCCTGGCCGGGGACCAGCCCCGGTCACGCCGGCCCACGCCACCCCTCCTCTCGGCAGGTTGCCCGGAGCCGGTCGGGGAAGACGTTCGCAGCCACCCCCGGGGAGTCCCTGGAGGAGCAGCTGAAGCCCATGGTCGACTGGGCGCTCACCGGCTTCAAACCCTTGGGCCTGAAGGGGCTGCGGCCACCCAAAGCCTCAGGTGAGGTGGTGGCATGAGCTGGGCCGGTCCCGAGGTGGCCCTGGGGCTCCTTGCTCCTCACTGGGGTGTCCCCCCCCCCCCCTCCCGCCCCCAGCAGCATTGCAAAAAGCCAGAGTAAAGCACCCTTGAAGCTGTTGCTCCTGGATGTTGGTGACCTGTGAGCCTCGAGCCATGTGTGGGGAGCCCGGGTGGTCAGGAGGGGCTCTGCTTTTGGCTGGGGTGAGACCTGGCAGGGCTCGGCAGGAGATGTCCTGCCGGGGCTGGAGGCTTGTCCCCAGGGAGCCGCCTTTCCCTCGCAGAGAACGGGGCCCTGAGGAACGGGACGGAGGAGGTGCTGTCCCTCGAGCAGTGTCCCCCCACCAAGAGGCTGAAGACCAACCTCTGCAACAACAGCAAGGAGCAGCGAGTGGAAGAGGACCAGACCCGAGGTGACTGGCAGCGAGAGCTGGGGAGTGGCGTGGCCTGGGCCGTGCGCCCTGAGAAACACCGGGAAAACTCTGGGAAAGGGCTCGGCTCTTCCCGGGGGCCGTGAGCTTGGTTTCCGAAGGCAAAAGCTTTTGTGGTCTCACATTGCTCACTTGTGCCTTGCAAGACGCCAGCAAACCCAACTGCAAGGTGTGGTGCCACAAGCTGGGCTCCATTAATTGCTCGTCGTGGAAATAGTCTGTGTGGTGGTGTTCTGAACGCTAGCTCTGGTGTCTCCAGCACCGAAAGGACGTGGGTTTTGCACCAAAATTTCTACTGTGCCCATGGCTCTGCCTTGTCTGTGAAATGCTCAGCAAAGCTGTAGTGGTTTTAATGCAAGAAGTAAGGCATCTGTAAGTAGAGTGCATTTAAAGTTTGTTACTTAAGGAATGATAAATCTCTCTTTTTTTTTTTTTTTTTTTCATTTCATAAAGTGCAAATGGTTTCCGACGTCACGAACAACAGTGGGAGTCTCGAAGGTAATCGACTGCACTGTCTCTCTCGGGAGAAGGTGTGGGGCAGATGCGGGTGCATTGCAGGCAGCACTAGGCAAAAATCGCGGGCTCCTTTTGTCCAGCCCCGTGTCGGGGCGGGGGGGAAGGTGCCGTGATCGCAGGGTGCTGGGCTCCCTTCGTGTTGAGGGGAGCAGGCTGCTGTGCAGAGCCTCCCCCCAGCCCCTTCCAGGGGGGCCGCAGCCGCACGTGGCCCCTGCAGCGGTTCCAGCCCGCGCAGGCGGGGCGGGGGGGCCGCACCCCTGCCCGGGGGTCCCTGCCCGGGCTGAGCGGGGCGCTCTCTGTCCCACAGACAGCTGTTTGTCCTGCGGGAGGAGAAACCCGGCCACCTTCCACCCGCTGTTCGAGGGGGGCCTCTGCCAGACGTGCAGGGTAGGTGCCGCCGTGCCGGGGCCGCGCGGGGGCCGGAGGGTGGGGTGCTGGGTGTACCCCGCTGCAGCCAGCGCTGCTGGGACGGGAGGGGCGACCGTGCCAGGTCCTGGCCGTGCTGTGCCCACCGCGGGGCTGGCCCTCGGCACGGTCTGTGCGCTGGAAGCGCCGAGGATGTGCATCGCCCAGCTCTGGGTGCGCACCAGGGATGGAGCAAAGCTGTGTTCTCTCTCCTCCCTCTGAGCCTGGATCCTGACCCTCTGTCCTTCTCCCCTCCCGGCTGTCCTTTTGCTAGGATAGATTCCTGGAGCTCTTCTACATGTACGACGAAGACGGCTACCAGTCCTACTGCACCGTCTGCTGCGAAGGCAAGGAGCTGCTGCTCTGCAGCAACGCCGGCTGCTGCAGGTGGGCCCCGTCTCCGCTCCTCCAGGCGAGCTCTCCGCGTTGCTCCTGGGGTCGTGCCTGAGCCCGGGCAGGGGGCTGTGCCGGTCCCCAGCTGGCTGCCCTACGGCACATCCCAGCCTTGCTGAGCCAGGCTTCACCTGAACAAGCCCTGGGGAGGACTGCGAGAGCTTTACCCACGCCTGGGTCACCAGCTTGTGTTGGTAGCCCTAAAAAACAGGGTACAGGCGGGAAAAACATCCAGCAAAACGGAGCGGGGGCTCTGGTGGACGGCAGGGGAGACTCCAGGAGAGGCTGGGGTGACCCAGAGGGCTTTCTGGAGGTGGCTGAGCTGTTGTGGTTTGGGCAGGTGCTTCTGCGTGGAGTGTCTGGAGGTGCTGGTGGGGCGAGGGACGTCGGCCAAGGCGAAAGAGCAGGAGCCCTGGAACTGCTACATGTGCCAGCCCCAGAGGAGCTACGGGGTGCTGCAGCGCCGGCAGGACTGGAACACCCGCCTGCAGGACTTCTTCACCAGTGACAAGGGACAGGAATATGTAAGGGCTGGGGGCAGGCGAGCCCAGCGCGCCGGGCTTTGGGGGAGAGGGCTGCAGAGGGCAGCGCCAACGGCTCAAAATTCCTCAGCCCTCTGCTTTGGTCTCGCTCATCCACCCTCTCCAGGGGTGCTGGGCCGCTTGGCCCTGCAGATGGAATCATAGAATTGTTTAGGTTGGAAAAGACCTTTCAAGTCCAACTGTTAACCCAGCACTGCCAAGCCCACCACTAAACCGTGTCCCTAAGCACCACATCTGCATGTCTTTTATATACCCCCAGGTGACTCTAAAACACACCCCTGAAGGTGGAGGCGATGCCTGTAGAGCCAAGGTTTGGCCTCAAAGAGCATCGCAGCACTTCCCAGAGCCGGGGCTTCACTGCTGTCCTTTCGTTGCAGGCTGCACCCAAAATCTACCCAACAGTCCCACCAGCAAACAGGAGGCCTATTCGAGTGCTCTCTTTATTTGATGGCATAGCAACAGGTGAGGCACTGGAAGGGCATCGTCCCGGCGGCTTGCAGCACTGGATCTTGCGGGTGGATAGTTGCATGGCCTCAGACTTGGCTGAAAGCTTGGTGGGGAGAAGGGGATGAGGGCAGGGGGGATCCCCATCAGAATGGGGGGGTGAGGGCAGGGGGATCCCCATCAGAATGGGGGAGGTGAGGGCAGGGGGATCCCCATCAGAAGCGGGGGGTGAGGGCAGGGGGATCCCCATCAGAAGGGGGAGGTAAGGGCAGGGGGATCCGCATCAGAAGGGGGGGGTGAGGGCAGGGGGATCCCCATCAGAAGTGGAGGGTGAGGGCAGGGGCTCCCCTTCATGCTGGACGGGGCTGTGGAGGAGGAAGGGGTGGAGGAAGGGCACAGGAATTTGGCTGACAGGTTCCTGCTGCGCCGAGTGTTGTCTCGGGTGGCTGGTTCCACTGAGAAGCAAGAGCTGTGGGAGTGCTGGTAACCTGGCCTCCGGTGGAGTGCTGAGGGCACCTTGGCTCTGGAGTTCTGCTTTCTGGGAGCAAACCTGCCTGGAGGAGCAGGTCAAAAAAAGAGTTTGCTCATCCAGAAGTCTTGTGTGACTGCACCCACTTAGGACATGCAAGAGTGACCACATCAAGCTTCTGTGCTGACGAAGGAGACTGGGAGACAACAGAGAGCAGTGCAGCCTCAGAGCTCTGTCCCTTGGCAGGGTACCTGGTGCTGAAGGACTTGGGCATCCAAGTGGAGAAGTACATCGCCTCGGAGATCTGCGAAGACCCCATTGCTGTGGGCACCATGCGGCACGAGGGCAACATCACCTACGTGCACGACGTCAGGAACATAACCAAGAGAAACGTGAGCACCACTTGGGCGGGAGGGCTGGGGAGCGCGGCACCGCGGCCACGTGGGTCTCGCCCCACCAGCCCTGGCACGGGCTCATCCCCTGCCCTGCTGGGGTGGAGGGACCCACTTGCATCTCCTAACTGGCTCTGTCTTCGCTCTAGATCGAGGAGTGGGGTCCCTTTGACCTGGTGATCGGTGGAAGCCCCTGTAACGACCTCTCCCTCATCAGTCCGGCCAGGAAGGGGCTGTATGGTAAGGCTGCTTTGCCTCCGCAGGGCTGGGTCCCCCCCGGGGCGGGCCTGGGGTGCAGAGCCACCTTCAAGTCAAGGGATGTGGTTCAGCTGCAGCCTGCGTTGGTGGGGACCCCCCTCCGAGCTGCAAATCGTGGGGTGGCACCTACGGAGCACGGTGTCTCCATGCCAGCAGTGGTGGGGGGAGCAGCCAGGCCCCCCCGTGCCCGTGCCCCCCCGTGCCGCAGCTGGTCCCAACCCGCCGCTCCGGCTTTTTCTCCCTTGTAGAAGGAACCGGGAGGATGTTCTTTGAATTTTACCACCTGCTCAACTATGCCCGTCCCAAGGCAGGAGAGGAGCGTCCCTTCTTCTGGATGTTTGAGAACGTGGTGGCCATGAGGGTCAACGACAAGAGGGACATTTCCCGGTTTCTGGAGGTAGGGGTTGCTGTTGGCGTGGGGAAAGGCGTCGGAGCGGGAGCCGCTTGCTGGGGCTGTGCTGAGGCTGTGAGGGTCTGGCTGTGGTTTCGTATGGCCCCGATGCTGCAAAACCCCCTGCCTGGTGCACACAGCAGGAATCAAGTTTTCAGTCTTGGCTCTGGATCCCCTCTGGCTTTCAGCAGGTTAACCCTGAGCACTCGTTCTCCGGGGGAAGGTTTTTGCCAGCCTTGCAGAAGGCATCTGCTCAGAGCAATGCCTGTTATTTCTAGGGAGAGGGAGGTCAGGAACTGGGCAGGATCTTTAACTCTGTGTTAGCCAAGATGGGCTGTGGGTCAGCAGGGACCCCCGTGTGTAAAAGTCCCATCAGAGGCTGATGGTCCTGACCCTGGCCCAGAACAGTCAGCACTGAAGCAGGCTGTGATTTGCATCAGCTGCTGGCCATGGCTGTGGTGTGAGAGCCCACGTAGCCAACCGGACCATGCTCTGCTACGGGACAAGGGTGTGTTGGGGCTACGTCCTCGGGAGGATTTGCCAAAGGTTTTCAGTCCCTGCAGTGCAGTGGAGAAGGGCTTTCCATGCAGGAGCGGGCTAAGCCTCCACCTCCTCTAACTTTTTATTTTTCCCCCCTCTCGTGGCCTGCAGTGTAACCCAGTTATGATCGATGCCATCAAGATATCAGCTGCCCACCAAGCACGCTATTTCTGGGGCAACCTCCCAGGGATGAACAGGTAATCCTTCGCTGTTGTTTCGTATCTCTCGCTGTAGTTTTGTTTTGTTTCGTTCCATGGTGCTTGTGTGGTTCTTCGTTCCTCCTTGGCCCTAAGCCCAGCTCCTGGGAGCCAAAGAGCTGCAGCTCCCAGACGGTGCATTTTCCCTGTGGTGATGTGCACGTGATGATGCGCTTGCTAATGAGCAGCGATGAGACTGTGGGAAAAGTGAAAGTGTAGAGCATCCCCTGCCTGGGACCTGAAGCCTGTGGAGGGAATTGCGATAGGGCTTGTGCGGGATGCTGCGTGGCTGTCTAGCGTGGGGATGCACGTGTTGAAGAGCCAGGCTGATGGGGGTTGTGTCGCAGCCCCGTGCCCGGTCAGTGCCGGGCGGGGGTTTGCTGGGGATGAACTGGGGAAGCTCACACCATGGCGGGCAGCTGCTGCTGCTGCTGCTGCGGTGAAGCACGACCGCGCTCCTCCAGACTTTTGTTCACACCGTGCAGCACCCTGAATTCATGGCAAAACACGACAGAAGGACTTGGGGTAGAGTAAAATCCAATTACTAGTAGTCCTGCGCACCAAATACTCCTAGCAACAAGAATGAGTTTGTTCACACAGCGAATGCCTCAACCAATAAACACAGACTGGGCTTAAATATTTTTGCTTGTTTATATTTAAATTGCCAGTATTTGTTGGAGTTAAAACTGGTTAAAGCTGAGCTAGAGGCATGTAGGTATTTGAAAATAGGAATTGCTGAGCCTTTGTCGTGTCCTGGGGTGGAAGTGCCCGTCGTGATGACTGGGAGCTATCTCCAGGAAACGCCCGGGGCGATGCTTGAGCTCTCAGGCAGGACGGGACGGGCACAGGGCTCCTCCAAAAGCGTTCCAGGAAAAGCCACGGAGGGCACTGGGGAAAGTGGGCTGGCCCCACCCGGCCCCGTTAGGAACGGCTAACGAGCGAGGCCGGCGGTACTGCTGAGGCCGCACCGGGCTCTGACCGTGCTGGGAGCAGAGTGCCCTTGCAGGAGATTCCCGAAGCTTGCTCCTCCTCTGGGTGGCTCGGGAAGGGAGCTGCCCTGGGGAAAAGGGCTCCTGCTCCTGCCCTGGGAAGAGCTGCTTTGGGCCGGTGTGTGCCGGAGCAGGCAGAGGGTGAGTTTATGGCAAATGATGCCAAATGACTTGGTGGTTCCACAGAGAGTCATCTATTGACCTCAGCCAAGCTGGAGAGGCTGCGTGAGGACTTGACACGCAGAGCTGGGAGGAGGAATTTACTATTGTCTTCAGATATTTAGTGCTTGCTTTTTACTCCCCATATTCAGTGCGAGTGCTGATTCCCAGCTGAGAGATTGGTCATTCTTTGGGTTTGCTTTTCCTTTTATTTTCCTAATCCACTTTTAAAATAGAGCCGGCGTGCAGGCATCTTAATCCCTGCCAGCATCTCTTTAACTGGGAAACCTGATCTCTGCTGGGGTGTGTTCCCAGGGGCGTTGGCTGCTGGGTGTGCTGGTGGTGGTGGCTGGGACCCTGCTGCAGCTCACGGGGCGGCAGCGCTTCTGCTCCCTCCGACAACTGCCTGGAGCAGCAGTGCTCCAGTATTTGCCACTTCTCCAGCCTCTGAGGCAGGCAGCCTGCGGAGGTGACTGGTATCTTGGTAGAAAAAACGGTGGCTGTAGGAGAGGCCATCGGTGGGATGACCACGTCACTGTGTACTTCGGGAAAGCATGGCACACTTGCTGTGTTTCACCTGACGGGCTACACGTCGGGGCACTTGGGTAAGACAGGAGCCCCATACTGCGTCCTGGCTGAGAGAAATTGTCTCTTAATTTCAGTAAGACTCAAAACCCTAGATGATAGTGACTGCCCAGGGCTGCTGCTTTCCTGTCAACTTAGGTGTACATCAGCATCTTGCACCTTTTGGCTCAGCCAGGGGCACTGGTGTTTCAGTACAGTGTATATCAGTGCAATTTAGCAGCTTAGCGGACTTCAGAGCTGTAATAGAAAATTTTAGCATTGCTGGTGGTTAATTTTGGCTGCCCTCCGTGCCTGTGAACGTGCCGGTGCTGTGAGCCCCTGGAGCCAGGCATGGCCGGGGCAGGAGGCACCTGCACACACTTGCCATGGGTAGATTTCCATGAGCTGCCCCATGCAGCATGGAGCTCCTTCAGTCCTGGGGGGTCACATCCCGAGCCCACAGCTGGCGCTGGGCACTTGGTCCCCATCCGCAAGCGGGTGAAGTTGTGTGGGCAGAGCAGCTGGCACAGACACGTGGGGGAGGATTTGTGTCCTCAGGAGATGTGGGCACTGCTGCTGCCCTGGGGCGAGCAGGACCGACTGCGTCGCCGTGGCCGAATGCTCTGAGGGCTTCGGGTGGGAAGCGATATGTGTTCGCTTGCTGCCACGCAGGGGAGGGAGATTGGAGAGCTGGAGGAGAGAGCACTGGCTCCTGGAAGCGTGAAGCTCCTGCTGAGCAAGATTAAAACACAGGCTGGGGCTCGAGGGAGCCTTGGGCTGGATGTGGGGCTGGGACAGGGATGCTGCGGCCTGGCTGTGGCCGGTGGGTGCCGGGGGAGCGGGGCAGCCCCCAAGCTTCACCCACTCCCCTTCTGCCTCTGCTCCGCAGGATCTTTGGCTTCCCCCTCCACTGCACAGACGTCTCCAACATCGGGCGCGGCGCTCGCCAGAATCTGCTGGGGAGGTCGTGGAGCATCCCTGTCATCCAGCACCTCTTTTCCCCACTCAAGGATTACTTTGCCTGTGAATAGCAAGCCGAGCGTCCCTCGTCTCTCCGGTAAAGATGCACAGCTCCGCTGCCGTGGCGGGAGAGGGACGGGCACGGCCGCCGGACTCTGCCACGGCACCATCCCTCCCCGGCCACGTGCTGCGGGAAGGCAGCCTGGCCCCGCAGGGAGAGCTGAGGAAATGTCTTTAACCAAAGAACCTGGCAGGGTAACTTTTCTTTAAAGGGACTAATGGCAGTGATACGTAGAAAATGATGGACAAAAGAGCTTTAATTACCCAGCGCAGGAAGCTCTATGCATAACTGATGAGACGGGAAGTCTCTTCCAGAGCATTAACTATTCCGTTTTAGCCTAGAGCTGGAAAGTCACAACTTGCTGAGCAGTAAGTGTGGAGGCAGCTGCCGGGATGCTGCAGGCAAACTTGAACTATAGTGAATTACTGCTTTTCCTAAACAAACAAAACCTCTCTTGAAGCAACTGCCAAAAATCCCCAAACTATAGCAGCAGGTGTAAGGGACCCTGGTCAGGTTACATACACTGAACATGCAGGATACAGAAACCAAATCTTTTTTATTTTTAAGACTTTTTTGATAAACTTTAATTTTGTTGTTTAACGTCTATTGCTGCTTTAAGGCATTACATAAGAATGTGGAGATTCCTAGACCTGAATGTAGCTGAAACTGAACTGTGAGGTGATAGTTACTTTTCTAGTTAGAACTAAAGAAATGTTGTTTTATATGTTTGGCTGTAGTTTACAAATATTCACTACTTCCTTTTTTAAAGCATCTAAAACTTTTCCTTACATTTTAAAATCCTGCTGAGTGGTTTGAAAGCTTACACAGTAATCAGAGCAGGGAGGATTTGGGCTCCAGTGTCCATAAAGGAAAATGTTCTCTCAGCATTCATTTCCCAAATGAATGTGGTGCAGCGGCAGGAAGGATAGATAGCGTAGTGGCCAATGTCATCTTCAAAATACAGCCCCCAACTGTCACGTACGATGTCACGAACCCGAGTAGTATTGGCAGTGTGTTGGCTGTGGGGCAGGGACAATCCCACCCACCCCCGGCCGCGCCGGGGCAGGCCCTGGGGGTCGATCCCCCTCTCCTTCCCTGCCTGCCCGTCTCCCCGTGCGTGACTGTACGGAGCTGGGATGCTGCTGGTGCTTGTTCTGTGCCCGGCCCCAGCCCGACAGCACCCTGGGGGGGGCTGCACCCCCAAACCGGGAGCTCCCGCGGCCACCGCCGTGCTCACTTTTGATTGCCTTCCTCCACTCCCTAGCTTCACCGGAGTGATTATCTCGCTCTCGGGGAGCCCTGGGCGCGCTGTTGCCGTGGCCAGTGTCCGGGGAGATGCGGGTGCGGGCGCAGCAGAGCCCGTCCCTCTCTGCCGGGTTTTCCGTAGCCGCGGGGCTGCTGTCCCAGCCGGCGTCTCCCGGGGACTCCTGACTCCAATGCACATTTCAATGCACTGAAACAGCTCGTGACGTGTCCCCCCCGCCTCGATCCCTCTGTCCTCCCCTACAACCTGTCTCCTGGCTCTGGCAGAGTCCTCGGGTGCCTTCTCAAAATTGGGCACGTGCAAACTGTGGTTTTGTGTTGGGCCAACCCTTCACCCGATGCCCGGCTGTCTCGCGAGGTGTTGTACAGCATCAGTGGGAAACGGGAGCTTCCCTCCAGCTCCTGCTACCTCTCTGACACGCGGGGACCCCCTTGCACCCCCCTCGCGGGCGGTGGAGGACGGCAGCCTCCCCGGAGGAGGGAGCCTCCCATTTTCCACTCTTGCGTGCAGCGTTCCGCCCCGCGCCCATCCCCAGGCTCTGAGCATCACCTTCTCTGGGTCTCCAACCCACGGCTGCGCTCGGGAAGGGGCAGGAAGGGAAGCCCGGGTAGTTGAAAGGCTTTTTTCCCCTTGGTCCTGCCCGGAGGTTACTCTAGAGTCTTCCCAGAGGGGTTTGTTCTCCGTGACGCGTGCTCGAGCCGCTCACCGTCGTTAAGAAACCGCTGGAGAAAGCCGGTCAGTGTCCTCCGCGTCCCTGCTGTGACGCTCGGCCAGCCCTCGGGGACAAGTCGCAGCCTCTCGCCACCTTTGTCACCAGCCCCGTGACCGGGAAGACTGTGGGGTGGGTTCTGTGGGTGCTGGAGGTGTGCGGGAAGCCCGGCTGGCTTTGGACCCCTTGCCGACCCCCCAGCCTTCAGCCCAGACCCCAACAACACTAATTCCCCCGCACGGAGCCCGACACGGGGCCGGGAGGGTGACGGCCCCCCCTGCCTTGGGATTCCCTGATGGTTTTTATTTTTCTAAACTGGGCTAACGCGTAACCTCTACTCCCTGGCATCTCTAATTTCATACTCCAGATCTCACATCCTTTCCTATCTGATCAAAAGGAAAATAAGACGGAGAAAAAAAAAAAAAAAAGGACTTGGGGAAAGTAAACAAAGATAAAAAGAGGAATGAGAATTGTCTTGGCATTAAGCTTACTTGATAAGAATTGTAGTAGACAAGTGTTCCTTGAAATATTTTTCCCTGTAAGAGCTGCCTTTTATTATGTGTTTATAAAAATGTTGTAAGGAGAGGTAGATTTCAGAAATGCCTTTTTAATACTTTGTAAAGGTTTTTTACTCTCCCTGGTGCTATTTTTTTAGGTTAAGGATTTTGGATGTCAAAAGTTTTGCGGGTTTTTATACAATCTTTTGAAAATAAAAGAAGTGTATCGTTTTTGAACACATTTCATACGATTTTTTTTTTTTTTTGTATCAGGAGTGCAAAAGCTCAAACTGCCGTGTCCATGCAGTTTTACTGATTTTGGTGTGGGAAGGAAAGGGGATCTGTGTCAACGGTTTACCATTTATCACCATCTAATTAAAAGTCAGTATTTCTGTATGAGGAGACAGTCCTTATTTGATGACTTCATGGTGTGAAGAGAGGGGGTTTACAGAGGGGGGTGGGTTACAGAGGGGAGGGGCCGGGCCCAGCACAGCACAGGTGAGACAAGGCAGCGGGTGATGGGGAAGGGGAAAGGGAAAGGGAAGGGGAAGGGGAAGGGGAAGGGGAAGGGGAAGGGGAAGGGGAAGGGGAAGGTGCCGGCGCCATCGCGGGGCCTCGGGCCGCAGCCGTGAGACCCCGCCGGCACGCGGGATACCACGGCTGTGGGCGGGGCTAAGCGGCACCGCCAATCGCAGGCGAGCCCGCGGGCTGGGTGGGCGGAGTCATGCCGTAGCAACGCGGCGGGTTTCCCCGCCCCCTAGCAACCGCATCCCCCCTTCCTCCTCCCCCCCCCCCCCGCCCAGTCCGGAGCCGTCGAGCGGCGCTCATTGCCACCGCCGTGACGTCTACGTGACGCAAGCGCGTAGCGTGCGAGTGACGTGGTCCCGGGCAGGCGGGCGGGGCCGGTTTGAACGCGGAGGGGCCAGGGCGAGAGCTGGGCAGGTAACGGGCCGGGCCGTGGCGCTGGGGCGGCGGCGGGGTGAGGCGGGCCGGGCCGGGGCGCGGGGGGCGGCCGGGCCGGGCCGGGCCGCGCCGGCGCCCGGCGGGCTGCGACGAGACCGGCGTGAGGCCTGCAGGGCCGGGCCGCGCCGCTCCTTTGGGTGCCCGGCGGCAGAACGGCCGCTGTGGCGGTGGGGGGGAAGGCGCGGCGGCAGGGCCGGGGGGTGCGGGCCGTGCCCCGCCCGGCGGCAGCTGCCCCGGGGCTCCGCGGCCGGGCGGCGAGCGCGGCGGCCCCGCTTTGTGCCGGCGGGGCGGGGCGGGGGCCGGCCGCCGGGTATTCCCCCCTGGAGAGATTGCCGTGGTCGACCAGGAAGTGTTTCTGCCCTGCTCGGTTGGTGCGGACGAGAGGGATGAATAACTTGCCGCAGCCGTGATTCCTTTCATCAGCGTTTCCCTGTGAGTGCCTTGGTGCTAATTTTTCTTCAAAAAGCCCGAAACCGCGGCCTTTACAGTCGTGATGAAACGGGGTCCTCCCCGCTGTTAGCCGCAGACAGCTTCACGGCGCTTCCTGTGCATCGCGTTCCTCCCGGCTGTTGTGGCATGACTTCAGGCTCGCAGGGAAGCGCCTCCGCTGCAGCCCGGCGAGGAAAACGCTTGGCATTAACCTTTGTGGTTCTTAGGCCTTTGGTTCTGTCTTTCAGAAAATGGCAGTTAATGTGTATTCTACTTCAGTGACCAGTGATAACTTGAGCCGACACGACATGCTGGCGTGGATCAATGAGTCTCTGCAGCTGACGCTGACCAAGATTGAGCAGCTGTGCTCAGGTGAGGGGGCTCAGCGTGAGGGGGGGTGCCAGCTTCAGCGTGCGCCCTAGTTCGGGAGGGGCTGTGCTGGCCCTCTGGGGCCATGCTGTGGGCTTAGCTCCTGCTATGAGCAGATTCATGGGCGCTGTGATAATCTGGCTGTGGTTAGTTTTATTGAAATGGTTGTTAATATTGTAAGTACAACGAAAAGGCATATTCTTCTGACTCGCTGCAGCATAGGTGCAAAGAGAAGGAATGGGTGTTAATGTGAAAAAAAGACTCTTAGGGTGTTTTCCAAAGAGGAATTAAGCCTTTAATCTTGATGGATAGAGTAAGCCTTACAAGTGTAGTAACTAGCATAAACAAATGTGATTTTTTCTATTTTTTTTTTTTTTTTTTTGTGTGGGAGAGAACTACTAGGAGATTTGGGAGGCTGGGCAGGAGGAGCAGCACGAGGAGGGTGTACTGGTGACTCTTGTCTTCACCTTCCAAGCCCTTGTGGTAAAGGAGCAGGTCAGTCGGGGTCACCCCAGCTGACTTTGGCTTGAGTTGACTTTAGCACAGCTGAGTCTCTGATGGAGTTGTAGGCAGAAAAGGGGAAGTGATTGTGGTCCCGAAATGGAGTCGAGTGTCATCATGGGGTGGAGTGTGTGTGTTGTAGAAATGAATGAAAGATAATAGTCTGTGGAGTAAGGGCTGAAAATGCAGCCTAGGTAAAAGATAGTGATTTGGATAACTGCAACAGGTAGGTGAAAGGGGCTCGGTGAGAAGTGGAAGCGCAGCTCATGCAGTGAGTTTGAGATAAGGTGTTGCTCACAGAATGAGAGATGTGGAAATTGGAGGTGGAATAAGAGGAGGAATAAATAAAATAGGTTTGGGACTGTCGATACAGCTGTGGAAGAAACATTGGCAAGGGTTACTGAGAAATGGGGTACTTGCAGTAGACATCTGACAGATATTTGTAGTGGCTTTTGTCTTGTGAGATGATGGAGAAAAACTGTAAGAATGATGGAACTTAAGATCTGCAACCACAGAAGTAAGGGAAATAAGCACTGTCTGCTTTCAGATCGGCAGGTTAAAAACCCCTGTTGTGTGCAGCATTGATTTATATGGCTAAGAAGTTTTGCTTAGAATTGGTGCGAGTGTTGAACGCTGTGAGAGCTCTGTCTCAGAGTGAGGGTAATTAATGCTGGCTCTACAGAATTTCAGCTCACCTGTTTTCAGGAAAAGGCTGAGAGCTGTTGATGTGTTATGTGCTGAGTAATGTCCCTTTCCTGCGTCTGCAAAAATGCTTCATGCCTCTGCAGGTATGGAAGTGGATTTTGCTGTCTGTCATAGTCATGTGAAAACAGGAGTTTCCAAGCTTGTTGTGCTACCTTTGGCAAGAGCAGTAGTGACAGCAGCAGTTTGAGGTTGCATAAATGCACAAGACAACCTTTGGCTCATGCTGTGATCGCTGTTTTTTTTATCATGCGTATTGCTGGCACTACCAATAGTTAGCAAAAGCCTGATTTCTGGCAAGTCATCTGTTTCTGAGTTGGGCATTGGAGTTCTTCAGCAAGTGAACTGGAAGACAGTGGAGATCAAACAGCAAGATTTTTTTTTTTTTTTTTTTTTATTTGCACCAGTGGATGAGCAGCAATCTTATAGTAGGAGATGAAAGTGGGAGCCCCAGAAGACCTGCAAAATATCTTGATAGAAAGTGAACAATACAGGACTGTTTCCTGTGGTTGAGATGACTAGGTTAGCTTAGGACAACACCAAGATGTATTATTCCTTCTTGGTCTTTAGATAGCTCGCAAAAGCTTGTCATGTAGATGTTTGTTTTGGGTTAAGGTTCCCATTATTCTCTGTGTGCACTTAATTTGTTGATATTGGTAGGGGGAACAACACTCAGAATATTGTGCTTGTATCGTCAGTGGCACGCAGTTGCATATCATCACTGCAGAGTGAGGATACAGTTTGAAAGTAACCCTTTTTGTTGGGTGTGTGTATTCTACAAAAGCTAATTTTTTTGGAGATGACTGTCTACTCTTTGTGGCTGAACTGAATCCCTCTTTTGCTCTTGTTACAGTAAGAGCTGAATTGAAGGACATGAAGGATTTTAAATTAATAGAAACATCATCTTATTTCAGTTCTTTGATTAAGGCTTGATTTAAATATAATCCAGCTTAATTTGGCCTCTTACCTTTGAAGGCACCTTGAATTGTGTATAGATTCTGCTTGTAGTAAGTAAATGTATCTCTATTTATTATAATGATTAAATATGCTTTTTAGAATAATTATTTTTCTAGTTTATAAGAGGAGATTACATGACTGTTAGACACGTGTAGCATCTCAGATTTGTACTGCTATCTATTAAAAAAGGAAAGTTAAATTACTCATTGGAATTTTTTTTTTCCTCTTGAAATTATGAAGGCAAGGTTGTTCGTGTTCGTAAGAGTTCAAGTCATGAGACCAGAGTTCTGGTTTCTGCAGCTTGCTTAAGCTTATTTACAGCCATGCTGCACCAAAAAAAGGAAACTGAAGGTTCCTGTTTTCTTGCTTTTGTTGTCTTTAAGAGGTTGTGGAGCTGACGAATGAGTTGAGTCAGTGTGCTGGGCTGACTGAAAAGTGACTTTCCATAGGCTAGTGACCTGACTTGATTCATCCCAGGTGTTGTGTTCTTTTTCTTTCGGCAGGTGCTGCATACTGTCAGTTTATGGACATGCTCTTCCCAGGTTCTGTAGCACTCAAGAAAGTGAAGTTTCAAGCAAAATTGGAACATGAGTACATTCAAAACTTCAAGGTTCTACAAGCAGGTTTTAAACGAATGGGTGTTGACAAAGTAAGCTGGATTGTAACTGATTCTCTCTGCTCTTAATATCAAAGTTCATGGAATGTACTTTCAAATTTAGAGCTGAATAAATCTAGGAACAGAGTTTGCTTTTGGGTTGTAAATCTCAGTTTTTGGTTTGCATTGGGGTCCTCACTTGATTTAGGACACTATCTGCTTTACTCCAGCTAAGGTTAGGTTTCCTTTTCTTGCACTTTGTGATTAATTCTTCCATTTTAATTCTGTGCAACTTATGTAGCACAGACTAATACTGAAATTTCTATGAGATAAGGTTTATCTGACCTTCCTGTTTAAACCACCTTTGTACCAAGTATGCTCCCATAACCTACTGGTACGATAGTCGTAAGAATTTCAAATTCCTCTTTACAAGCAGACAGAATCATAGAATCGTTTAGGTTGGAAAAGACCTTTAAGATGGACTCCAACCGTCAACCCAGCACTACCAAGTCGACCACTAAACCGTGGCTCTTAGCACCACATCTACACGTCTTTTAAATTCTGCCAGGTATTAAAATAGGTCATTTTAAGCTAGTGAAAATGAGATCTGTGAACAAATCTTTTCAGATCGACCAATAGTTATGCTTATGGATGGGTGATTTATCTATGTAATAGTTACTGACAGCATGCTTGGTATGATGCAGAACACTTCTGCATTAAAGGTTTTTCCTGTCTTTAAGAAGGCGTCTCATCCTGTGTTGGCTGGCAGCTTCAGCACACGCTGAATCACTCCTCTGCCTGGGGGGGCAGCTTGTGCGGGGCGTCCGGACCTGGGCAGCCAGTTGTGCTTTCAGGTGCTGAATGATCATGTCATGGCTCCTGG